CACTTTCCGTGCCTACATGAAGGACCGCAGTTTCCTCAAGTCCATCCTTCCTCTTTCGGACGATCTTGACCACATCTTGAGGAGAGTCTTCGACTTGAACCCTGCTCAAAGGATGACACTTCCCGAGCTGAAGCAGGCAATTCTTCTCTGCCCCAAGCTTACTAGCGAGCCCGCTGCTCCTGTCCCCATGCCCTCGCCATCTTACAGTGCTGCCGATGCTGCTAGAGATGCCGCGTACCTGGCATCTGGTCACCTCATGGAGCCAATTCCGCCCATGTCACAGCTGCCTGCATCCAATCTCCAGTACTCTCAAGCTCCAACAGCCGTGTCACACTTCGAGCAACTTCCTGTTTCCAGAACTCCTCCCATGCCTTCGCCAGAGCCTCAAAAGGTCAACGGCCCCTTCGCCTTCTTCACCAATGGCCAATGCACCCCTCAGGCATACATTGCGCCATGGTACAGCCAGTTCATGGCAACTCTCCCAAAGCACGCTTCAATCTTCCCGACGCGTGTCTTCTAAACACCCACTTTTTTTTCACTTCGTTTGTCTATATTCACCACTTTCGACATTTAACCTACTAAAAAGCACCATCACGAGACAACGACGCAAATCACGCCAACAAATTACGACCTGCTTTCACTCACCCGCCCATGATATGGGCTGTTTTCTTTTCATTGCGATGATACGATCAACGTTTTCTTTCATCTTCACAAAACATACTTTGTAAACATACCGGTTCAGGCTGTGGCCTAGATTTTTTGGAGGCGTCTCATTTCCGCACTTATATACCACATCGTTTCCGGCATACATGGTCAACGGAGGATTTGCATCACCATCGGCGTTTTGTTTTCTGGTCCTCGAGAAGATACTTCATCACAAGCGATCAAGCTATGTGTCCTTGTACAAAATAACATCATTCTTGTCGATACCTCACCCTACTGTCCCACAAGCTCCTTAGATGTGACTGCGCTCAGCACGATATTGTTTGGTGAACAACATGTACAATGCAGTCTTGATCCCAATCCGCCATCGTGCATCGACGAGAAGTGCGCAAGCAGCACGGCGGGATGCAATCACACGGCTGCAGCCACCCAGCCAATTGGCGCCACGATATACAGTATGTTTCCACGCTTCGCTGACTGCGCCTCGCGTTGCACACAGTTTTGACACGTACAGGACGATGCACGTTTGTGGTGGCTCTCTCGCTTGCCCATGACTGTTTTGTGAAGGTTTGCAGACGCGAGTGGTCAGAGTCTACAAGTGTTGGCGAGAGTGATGGCCACGATTGGATAATCCAAATCGCATGTTCGCATCGAAAGAGGTCACGTAGCGAAAAGATCTGGTTAGACAGTTGAAGCCCCCCTGCTTATTGGCATGAGGTACCGCTTTATGCACGCATGCCATGGGCGAAAGGCTGTGTGGTGGCTGGTTAAGCGCTGCTAGTCCGCCCATAGATTATGTACATCCTCGAGAACTGCCGCTCTCATTCTGGTGGATCTCTATCATCCTTGATTTTTTCTTTTTGTGCTGATGTTCAAATACATCTTGCTCGTGGCTTCTTGATCTCCCTCGGCAAGATGGCCGAGCCGGCATGTGCGTGTTCGCTGCTCAGATTCTGTCACAATCTTCCGATCGCAGAGTGCAGTCATCCCGCTGTCCATCACATCATTTCGCTTCTTAGACGTGCAAGCCACTAATAATCAAGTCGATAGTGATGTTTATTGTTGAAGCGAAGAACCAAGTGCTGTGGATGCTGTTGAGATGGATCCACGGGACAGCAGAGATTTTCCTTCCACCCATGTTGCTCAAGGCATGGCATCTTCGATGCGACCGGAGGTGTTCCTGTATACTGGAAGCTGCGGCAAGTTGTAATTGACCATGGCATTGAGTATCCCTACCAAGTCGAGGATCGAGATTTGTGTCGGAGAGAATTCCAGCTGACCTCTGGAGACCAGCTCTCGACCGTGGTACTGGTCCCGATATCCGCTGTGGTTACGGAACTGTGTCACAGCGCAGTTCCTGATGCGTGAAACAGAGACCCTGTTGCTGCAACAGACCGAAACCGAGTGTTTCGCGAGGATGTGCAACTCAAAACTCTCTCCTGTCAGAGATGCTTTCGAGCTTCTTGGTAGTGCATTGCGACACCTTTGACCGTTCGTCGCAGAAAGATCTGCTTTGTGAAGCAGCACGCAACCGAAGCTTTGCTAAAATTGGGCAGGGTTACGCGTAAGGGATGAACCAAGCAAGTGTGTTCTCACAGTGTTCTTCAACTGCATAAGCAGACAGCTATGCAAATTCTCGTTCTGTTAGTAGGAACGGGAGAACGGCAAATGAGGTGGTAGAGATAGGAAGTCGACACCATTCCGCATTCTGTTGTGATGATTTCCGGTTTGAGTGACGTTAGGAAGGCGCAACCAACGGGGTACTCATCTCAACATGTCGCGTCCAGATCAACATCAGCTTGCACCACGCATACCAATACATGTTTATTCTCATAGCGTTGTTCTTCGTGTGACTCGCCAGAAAGATGGCGCCTATACCGGCGGATCGCAACACACAGTTTACAGTTGATCGAGAGCCACTTCGCAATAATGACACCTTGCAACTCATTCAATCAAAAGTCAGAGGACCATTCACCTTCTTGAATCCAACACAAGCAAGCTACGAACACAAGATACAGATACCGCCCAGCCGAGACCACCTTGGTCGCACCACAGCGCCTCTTAGCACGACGGACTTGGTCCCGCCAGTTGGAGCTCCCACCCCATCCGTCGCCAATATCGAGTACAAATGGACAGCTCGAGACAATCGTAAAGGTCGACATACTCTTGTCACAAAGAGCCCTTCTGTAGAACACCCTGATACCAACGTCGCGCTCCCTCAAAGCACCACACACTGGCGATCCATCCTACATACGATATGGATGATGATATCGTTCTACCCTGTATGGGACATATCATGGTGCGTGGCTTACATCTTCACCTTGGGGAGTCTTTTGTGGGTAATCAACTCGCTCTTTGTCTTCCTTCCTCTGATCCGTCCCTCATCAACATTCCACAATGAAGCTCTTGTCGGTGGAGGAATCACCGCTTTTATCGGAGCCACCATTTTCGAGATTGGAAGTGTGTTTTTGATGTTGGAAGCCATAAACGAGAATCGAGAAGGCTGCTTTGGGTACGCAGTAGAATCAGTTCTTAATGAGTATGTTGGTGGGACTGAGATCGGGGATGGAAGCAGCTTGAAGGTTGTGCCTAGAGATGACGCTTGCACCCACCATCACCGCAACAAAACAAACTTGGTGGGCAAGCCACCTGTCCTAGACTCGGAGAAACAACGATCAGGCAAGACCAACTCGTGGGTCTGGTGGCCTTCTTGGGCCGAGCTCAAGAATCACTATTTCCATGAGCTCGGCTTCATCGCTAGCCTGAGCCAGTTGCTAGGTGCTACCGTTTTCTGGATAAGCGGACTCACAGCCCTTCCTGGAATTCTCAATGTCCTGTCTCCCGGTTTGAGCGATGGAATTTACTGGACGCCCCAGGTCATTGGTGGTAGTGGCTTCATCGTGTCGGGATGGTTGTTCATGATCGAGACCCAGAAGCATTGGTGGCAGCCTGCGCCGACGGTTTTAGGATGGCACATTGGTCTTTGGAACTTCATAGGTGGCATTGGGTAAGGGCTTTCCGGTTCTTTCTCTAGGCTCCGTGCTGACTGTTACAGTTTCACTTTGTGTCCTGCTTTTGGTTACGATACCAGCAGTTGGGCGCAGTATCAGGCATCTTGTTCGACTTTCTGGGGCTCCTGGGCGTTCTTGATAGGGAGTTTGATCCAGTTATATGAGTCTCTAGAGAAGACGTCGGTCAGGAGGAAGGGCTCTGTATGATCATTGACAAGCATCCGTGGCCCTATCGAGTGGCTTTGATGACAAAGCTCAATCACCACCAATCTCATGCATTAGTGCTGGACTCCAATATTCCTTCTCGTCTGCCTGGGCATCTACCCATACCAAAGAGTCTGCAACAAGATCGTCAATGACAGCCACAGCTCGTGCACGCTCCCAGCCTAAGTTGAGCTGAAGCATAGAAACGGTCACATAACCGAGCACTTGTATAGCCTCAAGGACAGTCGACTGGTCAGTATTGAGTTCTTTTGGAACGGACCGAATCATCTGCTTTGAGCCGATCTTCATTACAGTGAAACCAGAGCCAAGGGGTTCCAGTGACTTGACGGCGCGGAGGATATCATCACNTAGAGTTGGGATTAGTATGAGACAGTCGATAGAATGCACACCCACATACTCAGACACTTCAAGCCCTCCACCAATGCCTCGTCCTTTCTCAACTCGTTTCCGGACTTGAGGCACTTCAATCATGCCACCATTCTCCGATCGAGTTTCGCGACAGACCTCGACGACCCTGACAGCGAGCTCAAAGTAAAAGTCGTTGACACTGCCTCCGAGCATCTGTGACCAAAAGCTCCCGCCTTCATTCTTACCACCCTTAGAGGGTTTGTGATTTGAGCTAGCAAGCGGGTCAACTCCAATAGCATTACACATGCGGGCGAATTCAGCCCTGAAAGTTGGATTGGAGCGAATCTCGGCGCCATGAGTGAGAGAAAAGGAATGGAGAGCGGCCTGGAACACTGAGAGCTGGTTCGCTAGAGAGTCGGCGTGTGCAGAGCGTAGAGCAGCACCGTGAGAGGCATAATGATCAGAAGTGAGGGCGTTGCGTGAGAAGGCCGAGAGCCCGACTCCTCTTCTGTTGTTCGCCATGTTTCAACAAGATTGAACCAAATCTATTACAAGAACTACTGTATCGCATGTGAGTGGTTGTGTCTCGAGTGTCGTTGCTGGAAGGGATGGGTGCCAAGACATGGAATCTTGGCGTGGCGCGGGAACAACCGTCGACGCACGAAAAGTCCTTCGATGCAAATCCAGGCTGATTTTCTTTCTCCAGCAGCGACCTGACAAGCCGACGACCTCGCCATCCAACAACCAGTCAAGATGCCTTCCCAAACAGTCAAGACGTATGTGCATTGATTGTTCCTGCTCTGCGCGAAGAAATGCAGACACAGTCGGTTCGCTCGCTGGAGCGCTGCGAAACACCAGCGCTACCTCGATACTTTTGAAGCCGACCGTAGTCCTCTGGCCGTCAAGCGTCTCTGCACGTCTGGCGCCTTAGAATGTACGGTCGAGGTCCTTGGTCGCAAGCTATTGCGAATTGGTCTCCCATGGCCCCATCGATCCGTCGAGTTCACACCCAGTAGAGAATGCCGCTGTGCTGCAGTTCTCCGCTACGAGGCTCCCCCTCAACCCAACCTTGTGTTCTGACATTCTCCCTGCAGCTCGGTCCCCACCAAGCAGGACATCGTTCCTGAGACTCTTCTCAAGAAGAGAAAGTCCCAGGAGAAGGAGCGCGAGGCCCGCACCGCTGACCTCCAGAAGAAGCGCGCTGTAAGTCACACCGCCGCCACGACAGAGCAGGATGTTGTCTACATGATGCATAACAACCACATCTCGACTAGACCTTCGGGTCGGTGTTGTCGAAATTAACCATCTTTCGGGTCTGATCGACATACATCCTGCTCACTGGCACAAACACAACAACCACTCGGTCCTTACTGACCGCATTCCAGNGCCAACAAGGAGAAGCGCCAGGTCATCTTCAAGCGCGCCGAGTCCTACATCAAGGAGTACCGCGATGCAGAGCGCGAGAAGATCCGCCTCCAGCGTGTCGCCAAGCAGGAGGGTTCTTTCTACGTCCCCGCCCAGGCCAAGCTTGCCTTCGTCGTCCGCATCAAGGGTATCAACAAGATTGACCCCAAGAAGCGCAAGACCCTCCAGCTCCTCCGTCTTCTCCAGATCAACAACGGTGTCTTCGTCCGTCTGACCAAGGCCACCATTGAGATGCTCAAGATCGTCGAGCCCTTCGTCGCCTGGGGTTACCCCAACCTCAAGACTGTCCGTGAGCTCGTCTACAAGCGTGGTTACGGTAAGGTCAACAAGCAGCGCATCGCTCTTTCCGACAACGCCATCGTCGAGGAGAACCTCGGCCAGTACGGCATTGTCTGCATGGAGGATCTGATCCACGAGATCTTCACCGTTGGCCCCAACTTCAAGCAGGCTTCCAACTTCCTCTGGCCCTTCAAGCTTTCTAACCCTCTCGGTGGCTTCCACAAGCGCAAGNNGTATGTCTATCCTTATCTTTCCCTTCCTTTCCAAACCTCGCTGACCTCCTCTCCGTTTAATCATTTCATTGAAGGTGGTGACTTGGGCAACCGCGAGGAGCAGATCTCTGCCCTTGTTGCCCGCATGAACTAAGCGTTCGCTTGACGACAAAACTGGTTGATTTTGGGTGGAGCAAGGCGCAAACGGAAAGGCATTGTATTCGATTTTCATGACATCCCACGGGCACTGCATCGCAAGTAGAATGCAGCTCATGGCAAAAGCTCTCAAAACGTTCAATGTCTTTTCCCACCACATCTCTTGACTGTCCAATCGTGACTGAGTTGATATGTGACATGTGTTGGTTGATTGTTATACTATGCCGTAGAATCAATTCAACCTCCTTTTGTGCCAAACTCTGTAAGTTCACCCGTTTCGCACAAGAACGAAGAGCAAGTTGTGTGCTATGAAGAGGCACGATTGTTTTCAGAAAGCAGAGGAGTAGCCAAAGTGATTCGTCTCAGTGGATTCTGTCCTGAATCTTGAGAGCATTGTGTATTTCTATAGCTACACGCGTGACATACTTTAGCATACGGGGAGGCTACTCCGAAACAGACTGCATTCAGAAAGTGGATTGATGGACCCTGCCTCAAAGATGCACGTGATATCGATGTCTGCTCCGCTTATCAATGATATCAGTATTATATCAACCTTTATTCTGTGATCCCAACCATGAGTGAAATGTCCAGCATTGATGTTGGGGACGTTTTGCGTCTCATGCTCCAGGCGAGAGCGACAGACACTATCGATACTCTGAGCAGCTTGGATGGTAGCAACGAACGCCGACGAAAGGTCATCGAAAGCATACTGTTCTCCCGCAGATTTATCGTAGTCTACAACGTTGTACTTGTAGGGCTATTGGTATGTTTCACGGCTTGGTACTGGGGTTCTATGGTTGCTAGACTCCGACGACGTAGGCGTGCTTTCTCTCGTCCGCCACCCGGTCAACCTACAGCTTCGAGCCAGGGCCGCAAAGACGACAATGAAGGCGAAACGTCACCACTCATCAGTCAAGGCAAGGTCCATGTTGACCGTCCTAGGAGTGTCTCGGCGCTTGCTCAGACCCGGGCTTGGTTGATGTACCAGCCTCCCAACATACCATACATCCACAAAGTTCTTCCTTCCAACACCACCACTATTGGTATCCTGATCCTGCTTGGCATCAACTTGTTCTTCCTGCTCTACAAAGTTGAGCTGTCGGTCGCTACGGCGTTTACATTTGCCGATCGAGCTGGCCTGCTATTTGTGGCTAACCTGCCACTTCTGTACCTTCTTGCGGCAAAAAACCAGCCATTCAAACTACTTACTGATGCTTCGTATGAATGTCTTAATATTCTCCACCGTCGGCTAGGCGAATGGATGTGTTTGCTTGCCCTCTTACACGCTGGTAGCATGGTTCTGGTCTGGTATACGACACTCTCAACTCGTCTCAGCTTTTCGAGATTTCTCGCCTTGCCCATCATCTGGCTCGGATTTCTTGCATTCCTCTCTTACGAGACACTGTATCTTTCCTCGCTCGGTTCGTTCAGGAAGAGGTGCTACGAAGTATTCCTCGGGCTCCACATCATCCTTCAGGTCACTGCGCTCGCCTTCCTATGGTTCCATCACCACAATAGCCAAACCTACGTGCTGGTGGCCTTGGGCATATTTGCAGTGGATCGCCTCATATTTAGACTACTTCTCAAGTCAAGAACAGTCAAAGCTCATCTGTCGGTCTTGCAAGACGAGGAGACTGTGATGTTAAGTTCAAACTGGCAATTACCTCGTTCTCCTTGGTGGAGATCTTTTGGCATCAAGGAGGGATGGAAGCCTGCCGAACACGTCTTCCTCACAGTACCAGCCTTGTCACACAAACATTTCGTGCAAGCACATCCTTTTACCATCGCTTCTGCTGCTCCTATCAGCGCTGACTCACATGCCTGGCTCAACTTTCTGATAAGAGCTCAGGATGGCTTCTCGCGAGATCTCCTCCGCTACGCAAAACTCCATAGCTCTGTGAAGATCCGTGTAGACGGTCCCTATGGATCGTCACACGCCCTGGACACGCTTCGGGATAACGAAGTTGCTGTTATCGTGGCTGGTGGTTCAGGTATCGCTGTAGCCTTCCCTCTTGTCTGGAGTCTGCTTACCGCATCTTCACGGGATCCGGAGCCTGAAAGCAATATGCAACCTAAGCCTCGAGTGTCCCTAATCTGGGTAGTTCACGACAAAGAGCATATTGACTGGATCCCGCAAGATAGGCTCGATGAGCTACGCGAACTCGGCTGTAACATCATGATACCTCCACCAACACGCAAAGCTGGAAGGCCAGATCTACCACACCTTCTCGAAACTGCCGTGAATGCATGGAGTCATGAGATCGCAGATCCTACAATTGGTGTAGTTGTGGCAGGACCAGACGGCATGAACAGAAGCTGTAGGAATGCATGTGCTAGTCTTGTGAGTCAGGGTGCTCAGTTGGAGATCTCGGTGGAGAAATTCGGTTGGTGACCTAGGCGGTGCTTGAGAGGACGAGGTGCCTCTTCGGTGCGTTAACAGTCTACGCAATGAACATCCCCTATCCATTTTGATGTCAAACGTTCAGTTTTAGGCCGTGTGGGTCTGGAGATGCGAAGGTGGCCTCTGAACCCTGTTACCATGCATGCATGGGCTGGTGTCGAGGCATCTCTAACCTTCAATCTTGAAGGAAAAACTTCGAGTACACTCACGAAAGCCAGGAGCGTTCTGATGAGTTATGTGGGTCATGAGATGTAGATGTGAACCTGCCGTTCTCCTGTTCCACCTCCCGCGACATCATAGAGCGATGTGTCAACTATAAAAATGCACGATGGTTTTCGGACTTTGTGCTGTGTCCAGGGAGAGTGAATGATATCTCACGCTTCAATGGACACTGTCCTTATCTTCTAATGATATCGTGCGTTTTCATAGCTATACACCTTACATGCATTTTAAGTTGGAAGTGTTCAACTATCTGCGACTTTGAACATCTGAGGCATCGCTACACAAGCTCAACTTGGATGGCCCATTTGTACCCGCAAGGAACTTGGCCTTATACTCTTCAGACAATTAAGTACCTGTACGCTGGGCAATCAAAACGCTGGACACGCAACAACGAAAAAGAATGGCTGGGTCAACCTTGTAAATGCCAGTGCACAACGGGCAATTGCAGATGAGAAAGCAACCGCTCGGACGCTCAAAGAGGTTGAAGAATACTTCAGCGAAAACGGCACTCTTACTCGTCAGTCCACAATCGAAAAGTGAAAGAAACAAGAGGCCGAAGTCCGCGCAAGTGTATGTCACAAGAGAAAATTGATGCCCGTACGAAAAAGGAGTTCAGCAATCTCACACGCATATCATGTACAAGCTGCGTGCCGACATTGTAGAGCTCCAGGTCAGCCAAGTCAAATAGATTGAGGTTATACTGGCAGAGGACAGTCAGGTCACCTAACCAACCCCTGGAGAAAAATGACAATGCCAAAAGAGAAGCTCTCGAAAGACTGCTACGACGAAGCCTTGGAAGAGCTACCCAAGTGGCAGAAGGACAGAGAAGAGAGGCTGGACAAACTCAAGAAAGGACGAAAGAATGTACGTGGAGCGTTGGCGAATATCGGACCAAGTATGGGAGAAAAAGGTGTGAAGAGATTGGAGAGAGCGATTTGATGATTTCCACATAATGATACGAGATTAAAAGGATATGGAAGGCACTCTGTCTGTATATTATTGCAAGCCATGCAACCTGGTCTGGTGGTCGTCATTTCCTCCCTCCCCATGTACAAGAGTCTCTAATCTTGCCCGCTCCCGCTGTAGCATAACGACGACACTCTTAGACTACCCAAAGGTACAGTGTTTTCGAATGTCGAAAGTATGGCCAAAGAGAGCTAATATAATTTCGTCTCTCCATGGGTGCTGCCCTGCTTCTTGAGACCATTGTGTATCTCTACAACTACACACGTTACATGCCGAAGTACATGGGGAGGTCTCTTGCAAATAGTATATTTATAAGTATCTATACCCGGGAACATTCACGAGAACTAGGAGCCGAGCTCAGAAAGCTCCACGATCAAGGCCATGACCAAAGGTGCAATAGAGGCCACGGACATGTTCACGGAAGTGTGTTGTCGATCGAAGCAATACCCAGCGATGCTTCGTCATTGTCGCGGGACTCCAAACTTGACGATACCAAGCAGAGCTTCTTGGCTCAGCTCGACACGGATGATACACTTCGTTCAGAAATCATGGAGTTTACAGACCGCATTCGACAATGGACGAAGCCGCAATGGGAAAGAGATGCAATTCAAGATCTCTGGAGGCAGTTCGTGCAGCTGGAATCCGAAGATTCTGGATTGACGATTGAGGAGCTGACAGAGCCTACCGGAGATGGTGCAATACTCTTCGGCCTCAATTGCCCGACCAAGGGCAAAGGCAGAGCCGAGCCGAAGATTACGAAGGAGTTGAACCAGCCGACGCTAAAGGCTATGATGGCCAATTTGGGTCTTGAGAAGACGGAAGAAGCAATGGAAGCTGCTGGGATGTACCTGGAAGTGTGCTGTCGACGGGTCATACACCTCCCAGATCGTATCAGACCAACTTACAACGGCCTGAAGAGAAGCACATTGGAGCTACACAGAAAGCTCCGAGATCAGCTGTGTGAAAGTACCACAAACCCAGTTGTGTTAGTGTTTGGAGGTGCAAGCTATCTCGCCACACTGCATGGGGCACAATAAGAGTGCCCTTCTCCGACCAATTGCGGTCCAGCCACCAGGCAGCGCTCTACGCGGAGTACAGCGATGACAAGCAAAGCAAAAGGCTGACTGTTCCGGCGCTGCATCCATCGACTGCCTACTACAAGTTGAAGCAAACAGGACAGGTTGAGGTATCAGATCTGGCCTGAAACTTTGTTCCCGCTGTGACAGGCAACACCACGTCTGATGAGGCCTATTCCACAAGACGTGCGATCAATTGCTATTTGGACACGAGACAGCGCTGTGCATCACGGTATACCCAATCTTTGGGGCCTGATGGCCGTGAAGAGAACAGAAGAAAGGCCCCAAAAGCACAGAGCAGTCGCTAAACACTACTCCTACTGTATGAACAATAGCGGCAGCAAGAGCAAGAGGTTCAAATTCAACATGCAAAACAACCATTCATTCTTCGAAGAGCACAAAAGATGTAGGTAGTACTCTGGGCGCATGGTCCACGAAGAGAAAAAGAAGAAGGCTGAGCTGGAGATCAAACTCGAGATACGATATTGCCTCACACCGTTCGCATGAATCTGTTGAATCGCCTTATATCCAAAACGACTACGAAGATAGGAGAACACGTCAGCAAACGAACACATGATGCCGGAGTGGCATGCATGACTGCATTAGATAGAACATTATGATGGCTTCGCTGTGAGGAGACACAGTGCCTGGGGAATAGTCAGAATATTGCTCGAGAAGGTCAGTAAATAGGTAGTAATGAGACTCTTGTCAATATATACAAATGTGCTTCTTTTTCTCTTGTCGACAGCCAGCCGCCTCCTCAACAGAACTCCTCCCAATGCAACTAAAGCATACGATTTCCACACCGAGCTGTTGCAGCGTACTTGGTCAGAAAAGCACTCGTGTCCATTTGCAAAAGAAGAAAACAGACAAAAGCCAAAAAGCCAAAGTGGCCGTCAGCACCCATTTGTTTCGTGTTCCGTATAACCAACCAACATAAAAACACCAGCAGAAAGACCCCCAAGACTATGTCGACACGAAAGGAGGTTTGGGGATGGGAGAGCTTCCCAGCAGTTGATTTCGAAGTTTTGAATATGATCATGGATAATGTAAAGGACATTATTCGTCCATACCGTCGTTGAAGATGCCCTGAGGTTCGTTTGATGATGAGACCACACCAGTCATGCGCTCACCCTTACTCGAAGTCTTCCTCAACTCATCATTATCTTCTTGTGATTCTTGCTGTGCTTGCTGCACGTGGCTCGAGTCGTTACCGAACTGTTTGTCCAGAGTGCTCTCATCAACGAATGTGAAACCCTTGAAAGCCGTCTGCAGTGTGGGACTGAGAGGTGTGCTAGCCGGGTTGACGCCACTGGCCAGAGCTGCCGCACGAGCGTTGAGGGATGACGAATTACCGCTCGATAAAGCATTTGTGAACTCTGGATCAAAGTTGCTGACATCCAATTCGCCCTTGAGCTTGGGCTTGAAAGGTGGAACAAGTGCTTTGCGACCAAGAGCATCCCAATCCACATCAGCGAAGAAGGCATGAGCCATGAGCTCATCAGCATCCGCCTTGGCTCCAAGACGGTGGTTCGGGTTGCGGTTGAGCAAACCCTTGACGAAGTTGCGGCCTTCTGTCGAGAGAGCATCTCTGGGGAAGCGAACTTTGCCGAAAGCAATGTTCTTGTACATTTGCTGTGTGTCCTCAGCATAGAAAGGCGACCAACCGCAGCACATCTCAAAGACCAAAACACCCAGCGACCAGAAATCGACCATCTTGGTATAGCCTTGCTCGTCCAGGAGAACCTCGGGTGCGAGGTATTCAGTGGTACCGCAGAAGGTGTTTGTAGTATCTCCCTTTGACAGATTGGCCTTGGACAGACCGAAATCGCAGAGAGCGATGTGACCGTTCGCGTCCAGCAGAATGTTCTCAGGCTTCAGATCGCGATAGACAATGTCGTGCTGATGGAGGTGTCTCAAGGCCAGGATCAACTCAGCAATGTAGAATTTGGCACGGCCTTCGTGGAAACGTCCTTCTCTTTGCAGATGCCAGAAGAGTTCTCCTCCCGACATATAGTCGGTGACCAGATAAAGATCGGCAGGGGTCTGGAAAGAGAACTTCAAGCCAACAATGAATGGTGACTCGGCGGTGGCGGTGCGCACAAGAATATTACGCTCGCCAATAGTGTGTGCAATCTCCTTCTTCTGAATGATGACCTTCTTCGAAAGCACCTTCATGGCATAGATTCTTTGTGTGTCCTTCTTACGAACCTGGAAAACTTGACCAAAGGTACCCTTGCCGATAAGTCTCAGAATTTCAAAGTCCTCGGGCCCATAGGTCTTCTTGTCGGTCTTGAGGAAGCTAAGTCTGAGCTGAATCTCGCCGGGAACATTGTCGGTCTCGCCCTCTCTGGGCCTCAATTTGAACCAAGCCTCGTGAGGTGTGTCGTAGTTCTCCAGATTGGGGCTGAAACGAACATGTCCAATGAAGGCTTCTTGGTTCTTCTTGTCGTATACGGAAATGTCGAGTTCAGACTGATCACCCACAACATCNNACTACAATCATATTAGCCTGAGATATGCGAAGGGTCATGGATCAGGAACGTACAATACAGCCTCATGGTTCCACAGTGGCTCAGTGACAAGGGAGTCTGAGGCAGAGTCCTTGAGCTTAGGGATGTCTGTTTGACTGGTTTGACGGCTGCCGAGCCCGCCAGGAATGCTCATGGCCTTTCCTGAGTCGCTACCCATTCTTCTCATAGCGACTCCTTTGGCCAGGTTTTCGCTCCGGTGACCATCTTGTTCTTGTGTCTTGGTATCGGCATCAACCTCAGCACCGCCAGAGATGTCTTCATTCAGTTGATAAATGCAGACGACATAAGGGGCGGTGCTAGGCTTGAGGCCTCTTCCCTGTACGATGTTGACCGAAAGCTGGCCTTTGGTTGTACCGACGGTGGGTTGGCTGTTGGATTGGTTTGAGCTGGATCGACTGCTCTTCTCAATCCTGGCGATCTGAGGGGCTGTGGGAGCTGGGGCGTCATCAACCGCAGCTGCGGACTCATTATGTGACAGGGCTCGAGGGGTTCTCGGAGGGGTACTCTTTGTGTTTTCTGTTAGCTCTTGATTCTCCCTGTCAAGTGGTTCAAGCTCTTGCGACGCTGTCAGAGAAGCATTTAAGGAATCGGGAACATTGGTGGGGTGGGCAGTAGGGCTGGAAATGTGTGCTGAAACATGCGGCCTGGAAACGATAGTGTCTACTGTGCCTGACAGTGTGGAACTACGAAGCCGTGCCGGTCCTGCTGAAGTGTTTTTCTCAATTGACGTCTGCACCTCTGCGGGCCCTTCTTCATCAACCTGCTGGCAGTGAAGGGAGGAAGCCGACGACAGAGGTGGGGTAGGATATGATGGCAGAGTGGCGTCGTTTTGCTCGTGCGGGAGTAGTGGAGGCCCTTGACTGCTGTCGGAAGAGTGCTTGGGCGAGCTGGGAGCGGTAGGTGGAGGGACACCGGTGGGGGCAGTAAAGGAGGGGTGTGAGGGGTTCATGTTCAGACTCGGGCCATGGATGATGCTGCGGGAGAGAGATGAGGGGCAGACACGATGCGAGGATGATGTGAAAGGAGCACGAAAAGAATGACAAACCTGGGCAAAGTAGGCATGGGCCAAACCGGGTTGACGTTTATCCATAAAATCGGGTTTAGGCGTTGAGACACCGTCAAGAAGTTGAGGTGTAGATGCGCCCGAGCCAACATGATCGGAATCTTCATCCGGTGCTCGAGTACTAGTGGGACGAAGAAAATTAGCGTCGGCCATGGTAAATTTTCTGAAACGGATCAAGCACTGAAGATGGGTGTAAAATTGACAAGGGCAAGCAAGAGGCTCGTCAGCCAAAACAATCACGGTCCCGAAAGGAGAGTTGGAGTGTTTTGTTGGATCTAACTGCGTATCTGCGATTTGCCGTGGACCTGACTGACGTCGGCCCGAATGACGACAGCTTTTTTTGCTCGAGCTGCACGACGCTGCTGCAGATGCCAGCGGGAGAAGGATTTATTAATCACTCTCCGCATGAACCTGAGCTTCTAGAAGCGGCTGTTGATTATTGGACACTGTAGCGACCGCTCGGGTCTCTGCAGCATGGCAGTATCGCAATTCGCAGCTACGCAGCTACGCAGCGGAGGCGGCGGGAATGGCCGAGGCGGTGGGTAAAAATATCGAAAGCACGAGGAAAAGAAGCGGAGCAAGCTTACTTTTGCATCATTGCTTGCCGCAGCAAGTCCGCAGCGGGGGACTGCTGAGGATGGTTGTTGAATGAAGGTGAAGACATTGTCAGAGACCTCGTCGAGTAAGGGTCGGCAGGAGCAGGCTCGATGAAGACGGTCGGTATCAGACTGCTAGACTTTGATGACAAGGGCGGAGGACGTGGTCTTCTCAGCGAATCCTGCTTGCTGTAGGAGAAAGATGGCGAGTGCTTTTCTTTTTTTGNTCGGTCGGGTTGCTGATTCCTATCAGAGGGGCCCGACGGATTGAGATTGCTGCTGCGATTTACAGCCAGGATTGATGACGATTCAGAGCGTGCGACTAAAGATTGGTGAGGAGAATAATTAGAGGATGAGATGGTGCTGAAGGCCGGCGCAAGAAATGAAGCAGCGTCTGGGCGAGCCATGTCATTGACGGCGTTAGCGGGGAAACTTCAGTCCAACGCTCAAGCTCGTTCAAGACTCGAGGGCTGGTGTTTCTTATTCCCAGCAGTTGACCCTGGTACGTGTTGTGCAGTGTTGCAGAGCTGAAGAACCAAGGTCAAGGCAAGCGGCCGCAAGAATACTGTCGGTACAAGCCTCGCCGCATCCCACAGCCACATCATGTGCAGCCCATCTGGATCATAAATCATGGATCATCTGCCAGACTACCCCCAAAGCTCGCCCTGGCCCTCGGCGACTGGTTGCAGATCAAAACGCTTGGCTGAGACGTCCCGAAGTAGATGAGCCTTACCGATTTCTCATCAAGCAAGGGAAGCTGGATGCAAATGGTCAAAAAAGCGAACAGTCAACAGTGCGTTTGTATGACAAGTCCTTGCAGAACGGGACATGGTCTAAACGCTTCTGTGTAGGAGAATATAGGCAGGTATCTTTCAGAAGCACACCCAGCCAGCCTCGAGAACGAGATGATATTGCCAGTAGTCAACACTATAGTTCCAGTGTCTTCAATGCTATATGCTATTGGGTCTATAGCAAGTATGCTCCCAACCATATGCGACTAAGCGACACTCTTCGACAATGGCAAGACCCAAGAAGTCTATGGTCGATATCTGAATAAGGTAGATGAGATGGTTGATGGATCTGGACAGTCGACACATAAGATGTCGGGGCGGGAGTTGCCGAGACGCCGATGTGGTTAGCCGCGGCGCGTTCCTGGGAAGTCGAGATGGCGTTGGTTCAAGAACAGAGCAGCTCGACGCGCGAGCAAGACACAACTTTGTACACTTCGCAATCATGCCACGAGGAAGGGGCAGAGGCGGCGGCCCAAGGCTACGCTTGTCAGCNAAGTGTGTACAGCCTTTTATCAAGTTTGCGCGCACTCACACTGACCATTGATTAGGAAATTCGACTCCTGCCGTCAAAGCTGATGTATCCGACGAAGAAATGCCGGACCCAATTGTGCAAGACCAAGAGGACGGAGACGACGACCATGTCGAGCATGACGGCGCCGAGGATGATGAAGGCGAACAGGACGTAGAGGACGACCAAGACGGCGGTGATCGCAGCAGTCCACCAGTCGTCCAGACGATTCCGCGCAAACGAGGCAGAGGCCGCCCTCCCACACGTCCCCGCCCTGATTGGGATACTCCGGAACCCGGCACTGGCAATGGCTCAGAATCTGGCACTCCACGTAGAAAGAGAGGACGTCCGTCGGGTGTTGGAGGACCACGAGGGGGCTTTAGAGGCAGACCAAGAGGAGGACCCTCACACTCTACACGGGTCCCCATCGACAAGGAGGGCAACATGATGGACGTGATCAATGACGAGATTGCGCTTCCAGAAGACGCCGAAGGAGAGACCAAAGTCAACAAGGACGGCCATCTACAGGGTGGCCGCGACTACCGTGTGCGCGTCTTTACCATCCTAGGCCGCGGTGACAGGCTCTACATGTTGTCGACCGAGCCCGCTCGCTGTACTGGCTTCCGCGACAGCTACCTCTTCTTCACCAAGCACTTGCAACTCTACAAGATCATCATCGGCGAGGAGGAGAAGAAAGACTTGATCTCGCGCGACATCATCCCACATTCCTACAAAGGTCGCGCAATCGGTGTGGTTACTGCCCGCTCTGTTTTCCGCGAATTTGGTGCACGAATTGTCATCGGAGGCCGCAAGATCACCGACGACTACCAAGTCCAGGTGGCCAAGGAGAGAGGTGACATCGAGGGTGAGTTGGCCGACCCCAACGACCGTCTGCCTGCTCCAGGTGAGGCATACAACAAGAATCAGTATGTCGCTTGGCATGGAGCCAGTCAGGTCTACCACAACAATGCTCCTAGCGTTCCTCTTCAGCCAGGCAAGCCTGCTCCAGGAAAGAAAAAGACCAACATCACCACTGGCAACTGGCAGTTTGAGCACGCCAGGGAGGCAAGGTAATGTCTCAGCTCCTCTCAGATCCTTCAACACTTGCTAATAGTCCCTAGTCGCTTCAATGCTACTCTCACCGCTGCACGCCGCTCAAATCTCAGCGGCATTTACGACATTAACACCAACCTGATGTTCTATCCCAAGATCATGCAGCCGACCCATGTCAAATGGGACCCTGTTGTACCGAGCGCGGAGACGGAGTCCAACGGAGAATCCACCACCTTCCAACCTCTTCCCGATCTTATTGCGAGGAACTATCTCGTTACCGACACCTACTTCCAAAGCGCACCTAGAGCAAATCTGGGCGTTCCTGGTCCAGATGGCGATGTTGATGACCTTTCCACCAACGGTCTCTCAACGATTCCACAAGATGCCCTAGACGAGCTCCCAGAAGAGTGCAGAGCAGCCTTTGATGAAGCAATGAATGCCGAACTTGCTTGGAAGTCCAAATGGCAAGACGAACACACCGACAGCGCACGCGGCAAATTGCGCATCGGTTTCAATGGCTTTCCAGTATGAGGCATTAGATGAATGCATGGTATAATGAGGATGTTGTTATTGTCAAGGAGTTCTCGGAGCGCAGGCGTTATTCCTCGACCAGCATGGCGAAGGCAAGATTAGTTGACACGGAATACCCAAAATTAGGTCAAAGGTATCTGAATATTCTGTTTCTATGAATGGCTAATCGACATCTCCGCATGAAATCTGAATAGTGAAGTGGGTGGCAGGGAATGCATTCCACGTTACTGCATTCCTCCCCCAAGACTTATCAGCGTTTCCGTACAAAGACGTAGTAGTCGTCCCTATTTTGGTGCCAATCGAATAGATCGCCGGTTTCGGGTCTTTGTTCTCGTCGATAAAGACGAAACTTCCAACTACAACACTTCTCCTCGCCTACAACGCCACCATCAGATTCAAACTCCTTCGCTGCGACACAGACCGCAACGAAATGGCAGGCAGCATGTCGTTTTCAGGAAACTCATGCCCACTACCATTCCTGAATAGAAACAACTATACTTCTGGAGGTGGANNTGTATGTGGAGATTCGAAGACGACTACGGAAATACACGCTGACGGATGTTTAGATATTGGAGGTCGTTTCTGTAGCGATGAGTGCTGCCTACCCTGTCCACTGACGGAACTGGTATATTCCGACTGTGAGTACATCTCCCAAGAAACTGTTCGAGACCAAGCTGATATTGTTTGCCTGAANGCGTTCCCTACCCACGAGCTAGCAGCTGGCTGGCTTAGTGTTGTCAGTCTGATTAGCAGTGTATTCCTGCTTCTGACCTACGCAGTTTTGGCTCCTGAGAAGAGCCATCGTCACTATCTCAGTATAGGTCTTATCGTCTCCAATGTCATCCTACAAGTATGTGCTAAGATAGTGTCCAATCGCCGACGTCACCAGCGTTGACAGCCAATACAGTTGTCCATCATAGTTCCACTAGGATCAAGCCCTTCTATGTGCTACGATGCCATCACGCCCAACGACATGTACTCGGACTTGTCTTGTGCCTTCTCTGGAGCCCTGCTTCTATGGGGAGGCATGGCGTCCGTTTCTTGGGTCTTGTCGCGCGCCCTATGGACACATCTAAGAGTATGCTGGAACCGATCGGATACCCAAGTGTTCTTGGTGTCCTCTCAAGTCTTCTGCTGGGGTATCCCCACAGTTCTTACAGCAGTCTGCATGAAATACACCGGTGTTTCGTACCGTCTAGCGAACGTCTGTCTACCCAACGACAAGCATACCTTCACAACTTACTTCGGATGGATGATCGCATTCGCCAGTCTGGCATTCGTCTTGCAGATAGCGACCAGCATCTACTGCCTATACGTCTATCTAATGAATCTATGGAAGACTAGCTCATCATCACCTTCACGCAATACTGGCACCTCGAGCGAGCTTCCTACCAGTGCAACCACAACCAAGAGTACATGGGACAAGCCTTGGAAGGCAACTCGCCAGCAAGCATGGGCTAGAGTGCGCAGAGTCTTCATTCTGCAGTGGCGTAACATTCTGTTGTGTATGGGAGCCACCGCAGTTGTAGCCATGCTCTCGGGTGTCTTTGTATCGCTCAATACATCCCTGGCAAGAGACAAGGCTCGTGGTTTCCGCGCAAAGGAGATTGCAGGCTGGGCTGCTTGTCTTGTCATCACGCTGGACAAAAATCAGTGCTTGCCATTGGCAAAGCAGCTTGGTATTACAGAGGCTGCCGTGTCCGCGAGTTTGATTATTACCGCCGTAAGTCATACTCATCTTGCCATCCACCGATCCTGATGCTAACAATCTTTCTGCAGNTTGACCGGTCTCAACACATTCGCTCTTCTTATGCGTTGGAGCACACTAGTGGCCTGGTATGAGCTCCTACATGGCTTCAGAGGAAGGAGGGACAGTGAGGACTTCCTAAATGTTGAGCCTAGGCGAATCACTTTCGACCAACCGCTGGAGTCGGAGACAAACAAGAACGATCTCTCACCTCTTGTGAGTCCGGTTGATAGCCCGACTTCATCGTTCTTTCCTGGCCGAGGACCGGAGGACCACAATCGCGACTCGCTCGGTGGGCAATCTATGCAGCACAGATTAAACTCTGATGTGTCAGCTGTTCATCCGGGAAGAGTCTCTGTGTTCATCGAACATCCTTTCGAGGAAAAACAAAAGGAGCCGGAGCTTGGCAAAGCGTTATGAGTGAGCGACATGTAGTATCAACTTTGTACCTTTGTGATATAGACGGTTCAATTCCTGTGTTCTTCGATCCATTTTTTAGCCATCATCTTGTAGGCTTAGCGTTCTCCAGCTTCCCGTGTACAAAACAAAGTCAGCAGTCTTCACCCTCCACCCCCGACTGCATAGAGCGAAGTACCCTACCAAAAGACACGATTGGGGAGAAAAACGATCAAATATCGACCAAACTGGTTCTCACCAGCACGGCCGAGCTGTGTTTCCAAGCCCTGCTCCCAGTGGTATACACGAATCAAAGTGTCAAAGCCCTATCAATTGTATGTAGCACTCCGCGCTTCTGACACTTCATGCACTCACATAATCTCAGCATACTTGCTCACTTATCCTTGTTCCAAGGTCCTTCAGAAAGATCCTACTGACTTCCTGATTTTCCTCCTACATAGGCTAGATCTTTGGTCTAAGGCATGTAGACACTTATACATGCCTAGACATTCTTCACTCCTAGTCCACCGCCTTGCCTCCTGCAACTTTACAGTGCCAGATATACTCATGACCCTTATCTGTAAGATCTGTGGTTTCAGTCTTTATGACTAGGTTTCTTGTAGAGTCTATAACGTATGGAAAGCCAAGCTTGAACGTACTCTTCAGTATAGATACCGAGTAACACTAATCTTCATCAAAGTACTTTGTGAATGATAGCGGTGTGCGTAGTAGCATGTCTCTAGCGTCTTATTTATTGTCTTTTGGGTAGATATTAGTATCATACCCTCTTTGTGAGAATTTTGGGATACTTTCGAGCCTACAAGGATCACTGAATTCTGAGACCACAGCCTTCTCATAGTTACGACCGTTACTACGCCAGACAATTAAATTTTATGCATCCTAGGAGTAAGAAATATTTGTGATGGAACTTGGCCCAGCCAGATTGTCCTTCTCGCAAAACTTTGTAGGTTCTCGACAGAAGACGTTTTTGCTAGCTCGATATGGCTAGCGCTTGCTCATTCGCGTGACTGTTCGTCGCTTGAGGCTATCGGAGGGTCGACCGTGCATCATGAGCATCGTCTACCTCCTGTGAGGACCGCACCGCAACATCTGGTAGGAATGAACTGAGTATGATTCATCTTTAGAGTATCCAGACGGACAACGGGACCAGACATGGCCTTGCTGACCAGATTAAAAAGAAATTTGACACATGGAGAACATGATAGATGAGGCATATAAGGAGGCCGGAAGTGATGGGAACACGGACTGATCGAGCTACGTGCTGAGCGTGTACTGGTGAGTGATGTGGTGAGAAATCTGGCGGTATACATTATGAAAGCAGCTCGCCACTCGAGGACAGAGAATCTGGAACAAATTGGAAGCCATTTGCCGGATTTGATGCTTTGGAAAGACAAGATTCGTCCGTTGTGGGGACTCCGGACCACCGACCATCAACTACCACAACAACATAATCTCGTCACCCGGTTTTGGACATTTCTATAGCGAGGACATGGCACTACGGATCAGAAACTCTGGTTTCACAAGATTATGCGGATCTGTGGCCAACAGTCCGAGTGCAATTAGAAGGCACTGCATCTCCCGATCAGGAACACGTAGCTTTGCCCAAGCGAGCGAGACACCAGCAGCAGCAACCCACGGGTTTTCGAATGGTCAGAACCTTGGGAGCATTTCACTCAAGAAGAATGGTATCTACCTTGAAAACAAGTTGCGCATTGTATGTGGTACCGAACTTTCTCATTGCCCGTTTCTGATGAGTGCAGACACCCTTTGCGGACCTCGAGGTCAAGGAGCGTCCCGGTAGTGAATCTCTACGCTGGGATGGCGAGAGGCTCTATTTTGAAAATGCCGAAGGCGAGGACCGTACCTATGTGTAAGCCATGAGAATCTTTGAGCGCTGTTACCCGTACTGAATAATGGCTCTAGCTCCAATTTATGGCTGAGGTCAGGACCACATTGATCAAAAAATCGCACCTGAGTTAACTAGCAACAGAGATCAATGCCCGTGTAACGAATGTGTCCATCCCGTTACTCGACAGAGACAGCTTGACACGTTTTCGGTATATGAATATTCTTTGCATGGACGCTGAGGCAACGGCTGACAAAGCATAGATCGATCCCAGCATCAAGCCCACTAAGCTGAACATCCAGACCAAGGACAAGCAGACAATACAAATTGAGTGTGGGTATATGCATGCTTTTGTGCGATCAAATAAACATCTAACGATTAAACAGGGCGAGATGGACATCAGAGTGAATATCCACTGAAGGTGCTTCGCAAGGGCAGACCAACTTATACCAGTGTACAAAGGAGAGGGCTTGTCGAGTAAGCATCATTCGATACCAGTTGAGCAGCTCGAAAATACTAAAAGATCCAAGGCAAATCATGTTTGACAAATCGATCACGGCTAAGCCGCCGACAGTTGACTACAAGAGCATCATGGAGTCAGACGGTATTGCCGAATGGACTCGTCAGATCGTAAGTATACTAATACCAAGAATTCGTCAGTGACTGACTTGGAAGAATGTTCATGGATTGTCATTCGTCAAGGACTGCCCAATTGATCCCGAAGCAACACAAAAGCTGTTAGAAAAGATTGGGCCCATCCGCGAGACACATTATGGTAATCGAATAAAAACTTGTGTTTCGAAGGATAGAAGCTCAGCTGACACGAACAGGTGGTTTCTACGACTTTACGTCGAACATGGCAAGTAAAGATACTGCGTATACATCGTTGGCCCTCGAGGCGCATACCGACACGACATACTTCTCGGAACCAGCGGGACTGCAGATGTTTCATATACTCTCTCATACAGGTGGATCTGGTGGAGAATCTTTGCTGGTTGACGGGTTCGCAGCGGCGAGACAGCTCTATGCGGAAGACAAAGAGGCATACAGGATCCTCAGTACAGTGGGAATCTGGGCACATGCAAGTGGCAACGAGGATGTTAGCATCCAGCCACATGTATGCTTCCCTGTGCTTTCCCACGATCCTGTTCTTGGCCACTTGATCCAGGTGAGATGGAACACCGCAGACCGAGCGGCGATTGAAGCGCCCAGCGACATGATAGACAAGTGGTACGAAGCTGCCAGGTAAGAGTTGTGCTTTGCGAGAGTAATGGAAGGTGTGCTGAAAAAGAACAGGAAGTTCAACCGCATCTTGAACGACCCACAAAACCAGTACTGGACACAACTTGAGCCAGGCATGCCTTTGAGTAAGTGCGAGTAAGCGACTTGACATGGTCTTGTATTGACGCCGTTGGATAGTCTTTGACAACTGGCGAGTTTTGCATGGAAGAAGCGTGTTCACAGGCAAAAGAAGAATGGCTGGAGGCTACAGTGAGTAAAGCAGACAGGGGTTTGGTGGACCAAGCTGACACAAGGCAGTCAATCGTGATGATTTCATTTCCAAGTTCAAGTTGACAAACTCAAGCAGAGATGAAGTACTTGAGGCGACTGTGACAGGATAAGAGTTGAGGACGATGATTTAGTTTACCTTACCTGAGATATGGTGAAGAACTGGAGCTCCACGCCTGAGCTTGCGAGTGCAGAGACAGGGTGTTGGCCAACCTCAGATACTCGCATCATTACTATCCATACATACCTATGATATCCATATCAGAGAGAACAGACCTTGTAAAAAGTGAAGACAGATTTTAGTATGATACCTATGTGAAGAAGTATTACAGAGAGTAAAGGCACTGAGTGAAAGGAAGGGTGCTCGGTGCGGCAAAAGCCGAGCTATGTCATTGCACTCTTGGAAGCTCAGGGCGTTCGGACTTACAGACTTGTGTATTACAACAAACCGTTTCACAACTCCCATCTCTGTCCCATCGCCACACGTATCAGCTCCATCACTCTCTCACATCTACCAAACACAACCCGCAAACATGTCGACGCTCGAAGATCTGGATGCCCTGGAGCACCAGGACAAGAAGGAAGGCGAGGACCAAGACCCCAAGAAGCCCAACCAGAGCGGCGATGCCGACATGAAGGATGCCGACGGCGACAAGAAGGAAGAAGAGGAGGAGGAGGAGGAAGAGGTGCTGGACGCAGACATCCTCAACTCAAGCACACGAGACATTGTCACAAGGCGGCGATTGCTGGAAAACGACACGCGCATCATGCGCTCAGAGTTCCAGCGCCTAACACACGAGAAGCAAGCCATGCTCGAGAAGATCAAGGACAATGTCGACAAGATTGACAACAACCGGTGCGCCACCGCGAATGCCCGTTCATCCCCTCTGACCCTACTGACATGATGCATCCAGCCAACTCCCGTACCTTGTCGGCAACGTTGTCGAGATCCTCGACCTGGACGTCGAAGAAGATGCCGCCGAAGAAGGCGCCAACGTCGATCTGGATGCTACCCGCGTGGGCAAATCAGCCGTCATCAAGACATCGACTCGCCAAACCATCTTCCTTCCCCTCATCGGTCTTGTCGACCACGAAAAGCTCAAGCCTGGTGATCTGATCGGTGTCAACAAAGACTCATACCTCATTCTCGACACGCTTCCCGCCGAGTACGACAGCAGAGTCAAGGCCATGGAGGTTGATGAGAAGCCCACTGAAAAGTACACCGACGTTGGTGGTCTGGACAAGCAGATTGAAGAGCTGGTCGAGGCTGTTGTCTGGCCCATGAAGGAGGCTGAGCGCTTCAAGAAGATTGGCATCAAGGCTCCTAAAGGTACGCAGTCATGTTATTGCTCCTATACGACTTCGGACTAACCACCATTTCAGGTGCTCTCATGTACGGCCCACCCGGTACCGGAAAGACCCTCCTCGCTCGTGCTTGCGCCGCCCAAACAGAAGCCACCTTCCTCAAGCTCGCCGGTCCTCAGCTCGTTCAAATGTTCATTGGTGACGGTGCCAAGTTGGTTCGCGACTGCTTTGCTTTGGCCAAGGAGAAGGCTCCCTCAATCATCTTCATCGACGAGCTTGATGCTGTTGGTACCAAGCGTTTCGACAGCGACAAGAGTGGTGATCGTGAAGTTCAACGTACCATGCTCGAGTTGTTGAACCAGCTTGACGGTTTCGCCAGTGATGACAGAATCAAGGTTCTGGCCGCAACAAACAGAGTCGACGTTCTTGATCCTGCTCTGCTTCGTTCTGGTCGTCTTGACCGCAAGATCGAGTTCCCCTTGCCCAATGAGGAGTCTCGCGCCCAGATTCTCCGTATTCACAGCAGAAAGATGACTGTTGATGAGGGTGTCAACTGGCCTGAGTTGGCAAGAAGTACCGACGAGTTCGGCGGTGCCATGCTCAAGGCTGTTTGTGTTGAAGCTGGAATGATTGCGCTGCGTTCGGGACAGTCCAAGATTGTCCACGAGCATTACGTCGATGCGATTGCTGAGGTGCAGTCGAAGAAGAAGGAATCGTATGTTTTGCTCATTCTTGACACTCTTGACCATGTTTCACTCGCTGACTCGATCTCAGGATCTCCATCTACGCCTAAACGATTCGTCTTTTGTTGCATTGGCGGGGTTGGAGGCGCTTTCAGTGAACGACACATATCCGGGTTTGTAATTATAGCCTCAGCTAGACACGATTCATCATGGACTCTTTCGATACGATTTCCTCCTGCTGTCTGACATGACATTATATCGCTTTCGACTGTGTTGAGACTTGTTGTTATCTACTACAGCTTGCTCTTCTGTCCTGTAATCTTCATCTTTGCTCGACCATTGCTCAAGCATACTTTGCCGCCTTTTACGCTGGTCACAAATCTCACCTCCTCCCAGCCCTCTTGATCGACATTACCCATACGCCAGATTTGTGTGACGAGTGTGTCACCCGCTTTGACGGGACTTGCAAATCGTGCAGCAAACTCTTTGATGTTGGTTGGGTCCGAGCTTCCAAGAAGCTTCAAGAGTCCGTGAGCTGTAGTGTTCCAACTGAACAAGCCATGAAGAATGGCACCACNCTAGAAACATTAGCTGCCAGACCATTGAATTGGTGTGATGCTTGTCTTACCGAAGCCCATCTGTTGGCCAGGCTCTGGAGTAGCATGCAGAGGATTGTAGTCACCACAAAGTCTGTANNTGATTTAGTAACAGACAGATACCGTTGAATCATCATTGCCTTACCTATACAAATGTGCCGACTCTGCATTTGTCTGGAACACGTATTCTGCATCTGGCTTCTTGCCCTCAGGAGGAGGGTAGTTTACTGTCTTCGGGCCNNTACGGATAATCAACGTTAGCATAGAGTACCTTCATCCTGTCATGATGCTTATATTACCCTTGGGTCCATTCCAACCTCCTTGGCCAACAAAGAAGGACATGCCGACTGCTCTGCTATACACCTCTCCAGTGGCCTTGTCTACAATCAAGTTCTCGGTTTCGACTACCGAGCCGGGCTTGCCCTTGTCATACACTCCGAGAACCTTTGCTCTCATCTCAAAGTCGCGGCCTTCACTGGTTGGTGGCAGAGGCTTGAGGAAAGTAATGGATTGCTCTCCATGAACCACCTTGCGACTGTCAAACTTTGGTACATCTGGGATGGCGGCACGCTTGGAGTTCTGAGAAGCGTAAAAGTCGATGATTTCCGCAGAGGTTCCTTTGAATGGCAAGATGATTGAGTAAGTAGGGAAGGTGCTGAACTTTGGGTTGAACTCCTGTTTAACAACACTTTAGCATCGGCATTGAAAAGGTAGTTGAAGGCCTTGAGACAAACATACATATAGGAAATGAAGCTCGTCTTTGGCATCACAGCCAATGGCGTTTGCGAATAGCAAGACGTCTCGCTTGTACCACGAAACGGGCACTGATGGATACTCGAAGCCGACACCTGGACCACTCATGATTACTGTTGGTTCGATTGTCGAAAATGTATGTCTAATACAGGATGCTTCTTGCATCGAGAGCTCGTTTTGATATACGCAAACCGAGGGCATGCTGGAGCGGGGAAATGGTCTTGGACCGAGGCGCTTTATGACCACCGATCTAACTCCAATCTCACTTAATGCAATTTCTTGCAACTTTAGGGTGGATTGTATCGACTGCTACATTTGAAGCATACTTGAGAATGCGGAAGCCTAGCTAGCTAGCAAAACATCGAATCGCTCCCTTTATTGCTTATGATAAAAAGATGCCCTTACCAACTTTACATAGTTTGACATGATTTCGAGAACGATCCTCTATTCAAGTAAGCGAGAAATAGACCTGTACTCGCAGAGCAAGCGATTCTATATAAGAGGTACCATACTGGACAGCATTCTTTTGTCACTTAGCCGGGGTTAAAGTGTGTACATTGAAGCCTGTAACAAAAGTTCCTGGTGCTCAACCCAGGTTGATATTTTTGTTGGTTATATACGATGAAGCCAGATTTTCTCGTTGAACTGGTGCTTTGGCGCAGTGGTAGCGCGTTCGTCCTCTCCTCCTTTCTGCATACCACAATAGACACACTAACCCGATATAGACACGTTTCCGAAGGTTATACCTTCATGCACGCGTGAGGTCGAGCGTTCGACCCGCTCAAGCATCGCTTTTGCTGACTGGAGGGCCATGTATGGAGTGGGACGTAAGTGCGTCGTTGTTTTTGGAGGTTTTTCCGGCTGTCGGTAGATTCCTAGAAGGTCGTGCGTTCGAAGCGTTCCACAGTCACGGTCTTGTCCTCCTGGTAAGCCTGGGGGTGATAGCAGGTTTTTATCTCTATAACTTCTGTACAGATGAGTGCCTTTATATGGCTAAATATATCTTGTTGGACACATTTGCATAAATTTACGTTGCTACGCGCTTATGAAGCGTGTCGTACTTCATAATTCGACCCCTCTCTCACAACGCCTAAAAGCAAGGTTGAAGGCTATAAAGATGCACAAATCTTTCGACAAAAGAAAGAGGCCATAGAGATGTGTTGGAACGAACGATCTCCGTGGACAAAGCATCGTGTCTCCAAGACTTTGCGCGTTTGTACAGCTATCTATCATGACAGAGTTAATATGGTAGGGAAACCCCTATCGTGAAGCCTTGTTACTGCTGCTCAAACCGCTAGTCAAGAGCATAGTACTCATGATTATTGAGACTCTTGTCTCTTCTCCGTGTGCAAAAGTCTGTAACCTTCCCTGCTCCCGCTGCAGCATAAATGCACTTTTGAACTATAGAAATGCACAGTGTTTGCCAACACCTCGGTTATACCCACAGAGAGCTGAAGAAAACTTGTCTCCCAGTGGGTGCTATTCTAATTGTTTAGGCTATTGTGTGTCTCTACGGCTACACGCGTTGTATACCTGGGCGTACGGGGAGGTGTTGACATGAACTATCTCCGTGGACAAATTATCTGTTTTCAAGCGATTTGTGTGTTCTTGCACAACGCTCGTGACGAAAGAAAGCACACGGAAAGAGGATATCAAGATCGGTCTGATGACGTTGAGTCTGCTAGATCGATTACGGACGAGTAATGCCATTCTCTTACGAGTCGTCTCTGCTCTTTGACTCGCTGCTGCGCTGTTGTCACGGTCCCGCAACAAGGACCCATCCTCCTCCTAGTTCCATAGGCTCTCTTTGGACCCAATCTCTGGTGTTAATTTTACTGTGCATCTTGATAGCTACTCATTGGGCTGGTGAGTGCGTGTGGAGCAGGGCGATCTTTCGGCACTGTAAAGCAGTATCGCCGAAAAACACTTTGAGGCTCATCGGACAGTCACGGAAGTCGTTGATGAACAAGTTGTAAGTCTGTAACCTTGTGGTCATTGTAAGAGCTATGTCTTGGAACTATATACATTCGAGGAGGCAGAAGCAATTCGTGCTGTGATGGAGCAATGGCAGGATCAACGAAGCAAGTCACGCTGTGATAGAGCAACGGCAGGTTCGACCAAGCAAGGAAATCAACAATCAAAAGTCAGACCTGTCTCGTGCTCCCAGAGTTCGATGACAGCCTTGATATCTTTGTCGTGCTTCACTCGAAGAACGCTCTTTGGGAATGTAGGACTGGAGTGTGATTCACCACGCCATAAGTTGGGCACTGATCTTCCAGACTTGTCTTGAATGTCGATGCCTTCATTAGTACTGCCAAACATTAGCCCTTTGCCTTTTTTTTTTTGGTATTGATCGTATAGACTTACAAGAACACCTTTCTGGTCTTATCTTCACCTTTCCTGGCAGCAATGCTTTCAGCGCCCAATAAGGAGATCTGTTGATCTTGACCAGTGCTGTTCTTCCAGTAGAGTTGTATCTTGCCTCTGCCTGTGAGGTTGACTACACGACCGTTGATTGAGCGCGTGAAAGCTCTCGTCTTGTCGGACCCCCAGCGGGCTTTTTTGTTTGTTTCAGCATCGAGATCGCGCTTGGCTTGTTGAAAGACAGTGGCCGCACCACTGGCTTGCCAGCGACTCTCGACTTGATCAAGAATGAGGTGACAAAGCTCGAGCCGAGAAGGTCTGAAGGAAGTGTCATTTTCGACTGCGTTGAGAATGTCCAGTGCAACATCGACGGCTAGGCAGACCTTCCAGAAGTTGATGTCGATCACACGGCGAAGCGCAACTGATCCAGGGCCGTACCTAAAAGCCAACAGAGTCAGCGTGTTTCTCGTGTGAGAATGGTATACTGCAATAACTGTCCCATTGCAGAGTGCTGAACAGAAAGCTCGACACCCCATTGAGAGTCTAGCTTTTCACGAGCGATGGCAGGCTCTCACGATGGTTGCTTGGGCTTGAACGGAACTCTGCAATGTGATGGATGCTCTATCTTCTGAAACAGGATCTGGAGCACCAACTTGGCTTGTGCGGAGATTCTCATTTACGTACCTGTCAGCACCAGGGTGGAATGAAGGTATCTGGATGAAAGCGTCCTCGGAGTCGACAGATTTTGTGGCTGTGGGAATTTTACCGAGAGGACGGGAATCATTACCAGGGTCGGTGTAGTATTGGATAGTGAAGTTTCTAAGTTCACTCAACAAGTTCGAGACGGACGAATCGAATGTGCTGCGGAAGTTGGCTCTCACGAATTTGTTAGACTGGAATCCCAAGACAAGGGCCATCAAAGGTTTGGTAGCTTCGAAGTACGCGCGGGTGAGATCAATAGCATTCAAACGCAGGTTCTTCATGTCAGGCCAGTAACAGTGATCGATGAAAGGAAGCACACTAGCTTCGACAAGGGGATCCAGACGCAAGGCATGCCAGTCTGATCTGTTCTCTTCATATGCCATCAGTCTTGACAGGAAGTCTTTTATCAGCTGGACTGATTTGGCACTCTGTGACCAGAATTTGATGGGGTCTTTCAGTGCATGAAGTGGGATAGCGTCGCCCATTGTGACCATTATTGTATGACCAAAAANTCTGGTCGGCAATGCTTGATCTGTCCAAACTTTCTGGTGTCGATAATTAATAGGAGACTCGGACCCAAGGCCCAGTTCAACTGGATTTTGAGCAGCGAAGAGTAGAGTCATGTCCATCCAGTCGGTGACCTTTTGACGGAGAATTGCTGATGGCTGCTGATGGATAGACTTTTCCCCCAGCTTTGAGAACGTAGCGGTGCCGAGTTGTTTGAAGGTCGCAATGTCGAATTCTGCGGGTTGATATGCCACAAGGGTTCCTCCACTTTGACGATTGAGTGAGGATGCCTGTCCAACGAGTGCGATAAGAACCCGTTCGCGTAGGTCGACTTCTTCGACCGAGGGTTTGGCAATGTAGCCTGCTCTGGATACAGAGGGTTTGAGCTCAAACGCATCGATGTGGAAAATCTTGACCGATGACATGACTAATGGACAAAGAGCCTTGCAGTCAGTACGGAAGTCGTGGAACATCCCAGAATCTCTCATCCTCTCATCATCCCGGTGTCTCTCTTGGCCAGAAGTGAGGTCCGTTTTGCCCAAGTAGCGTATGTAGACAGCCGTAGAGTCATCGGGGATTCCTTCAGCCATTGCTTCCCAAACAGCCGCTTCTGGATAGTTCTTGCCTCGCTGCTCCCAAAGGTCGAGAATAGCGCGGAGTTGCTTGATCTTGATTTTCCATGAGCGAATGTAGTAAATCGTATGGCCTTTCGGACAGTCTTTCATGATGCCAGTTGTCTCAGTGGTCGCGATGATTTTGCTGAAAGCTTCGTCGGATAGAAGTATTGGCGTTTCGAGCAAAGTCAACCATTCGTCGCTGGACGTAGTGGGGAGTGCGAATTGAAGCTTTTGCATGGTCAGGCCATGAACCGGGATACTCGAAGCTTTGAGACGGGCGATGATAGTGTCAAACACCAAAGTTTTGAGAGTCTGCTTGTCGAGCGAGGAACCGTCTGTAGGGGACTTTCTTTTCAATGGGTTGGTGTTTGAACTGGTAACAGAAGCCCGAGACAGCTCGTCTGGACAACTAGAGCGACGAAAACAGACGTCAGTCAAAAGAACCAGAGATGGACACAATCATGGTAGGAAGAAAGGTGGTAAGACTGACCTTTCCATCGTGCGATGATGCACTCCACGAGGGTAGAGCAGACAGCGAAGGAAGGCAAATCACCGATGTTCTACTTTTGCAGCCACAGGGTGAGATGAGTTCCTCGCAGTGTAAGGAAGAGGTTTCGCGGGAAGTGCGGGCGATTCAAAAGTTCTCCGAGTTGGACAGGACAAGAGAGGTACGAGGATGAAGAAGATGAGGACCGCCACGAGATTGATCGAGTCGAGGCCTGATTGAGGAAAGAGCGCACGAGACACGACCTCGCCCTGTCCCCGGTTCCGAGGCGCGGGGAGAGGCTGCATCCGAGCGTCCGTGTAAAGAGTGCGAGGGAGGAAGGAACGAAGGACGGAGAGGAAGGAGCGTCTGAGAGTGGGCGTCTAGCATGGGTCAGCACGTGCTCGAGAAATGCAGCACTCCAAAAGGCAGGAGCAAACGACATACGTGGAAATGTTGCTGACAGCCGTCTCAAGTCTGTCTTGTGAGAGATACAGAAGAGGTTGACTTTGATTATTTAACCTCGCAGGGAGACAGCAGTCTGCGAGGGGTCCCAGTGCATCTGAAAGTATTGGCAGATCTGGTTATTGACAGAAATTTTGCCCGCAGGGCATGACTTCCTGGGCAGCGCAAGTCGAGAGGCGTTGCGACTTTGTGTTGTGTTTGGAGGGTGTCGTCTCTACGCGAGTAGAAACAACGGGCTTAACCCCACAGGGCCATCACGTCCTGGGAGGGGTCCCAGTGCATCTAACAGTGCGAGGCACCATAGATCTGGTAGTTGTCAGTCTGTTACTCGCAGGGCATGACTTCCTGGGCAGCGCAAGTCGAGGGGCGTTGCGACTTTGTGTTGTGTTTGGAGGGTGTCATCTCTACGCGAGTAGAAACGACGGGCTTAACCTCTCAGGGCCATCACGTCCTGAGAGGGATCCCAGTGTATCTAACAGTGCGGGGCCCCGTGGCACCATAGATCTGGTAGTTGTCGAATTCTTGCTTACAGGGCATCACTTCCTGTAAGCATGCGCATCTGTCGGCGGTGTTTGGCGCAGGTCGAGAAGCGTTGCAGGCCTACATAATCATTCGAGTCAGCGCAAGAGATTGGAAATGCAGAAGAGTAAAAGACGACTCACCTTATGCTCTGAACAGTAGACCTAACAAAAGGCACTGAACATCTGAAGGAATTGTTGTTGCGTGTCCGTCGGCGCGCAAGAGATCTCTGCCACTTTGTACCTAGCAACCTGAACTCCCTGGTCGGGGACCACATGCAAGTGCAAGGATCGGTCGGGCTTGGGATTGACTAGGCGGTGGTGAGAGTTGGAAGGTGTGCGAAAGAGGAGAGATTTTTGTTGACCGAGAAAAGAGAGGAGTTCTACAAGTGCGTTGTTTGCTATCGTTATGCGGCTTGCTCACACTCGGCCAATCAGAAGCCATTCAAAGATGCCTTGTACGAATGGTTTCACTGAGCTTTGATATTGAACAAAGAACAGAGGCCTAGGCTACTCTCTCACTTACCTATCGTCCAGAGATATCAACGTTCTCTTTATTATCTGAATTGAGATGACTACCCTACCTCCTCGAGCTTCGTTGACCTTCCTGGCATCTAGTTTTAGTTGCTCGTTTTGTTGCCTTGCCAATTTTCTTGTCTTCGGGCATTGTTGACTCCTTGAAGACTGATCACAACTGGTTACCCTACCTTCTTGAGCTTTGTCGACCCTCTGGGCAACTGAGATCAGTTGCTCGCGCTCTCGCCTTACCAAAATTTCGGTCTTCGTAGAATGTTGTTGATTCTCTCGGCAACCGAACTAGGTGCTCGCACTCTCGCATTACCACTTATGGGTCCTCGTGGAGCATTATTGACCTTTGGTAAACTGAGTTCAGATGGCTACTCTGCCCTCTGATGCCTGTTGGCCCTTCTAGGCAACTAAAATCAGTTGCTTGTGACCTCGCTTTCCAAGGTTCTGTATCTTCGACAAATAGAATCACATGGCTGCGCTACCTTCCAAAGCGTGGTGAGCCCTTCGATTGACCAGTCCCAGTTGGTTGCGTTGTCGCTTGACCAATTTCATGCTCGTAGGGCATCGTTGACAAGCACTCGAGCGAAAAGACACCTGGTCTTGACATGGCTTCTGCCCAGAAATGTCTTTGTTCCTCAAGAAACAAAAGAGATGCTCGGCAACGCTCGAGAGGAAGTCGAGTTTTATGTATACCTGATTTATACAAGCTTTCACAAGCAGTCGTGCCTGTATAATCGAAAGCTGCCAAGAATCGAGGTCGACATAAGCAAAGTACGCATGGTGGAGCTGATATGAGAGTGATGACACGATGAGACACGAGAGAGATCGGAAGAACAAGTTGGACAAAGACGGCGGAGGCCGGACGGCGATGAGGAAGGTCTTGAGGAGCCGAGGGCAGCCGACAGGATTGCCCCCTCTGGAGACTGAAGGGTCACCAGGCACTAAAAACAGGTGGCTGGGGTACTTTGGCCGAGTACAGCATGGTAATCACATATTGATAGATGGAGGGTGAGTGTGCGAGGATGGGCAGAGGATTGGTATGCGCTGGACAGCGTGACGCACATGTACGAGTTACATGAACGAAGGCGGCCCAAGCGAAGACAGTCGCAGACTCGTGGCCGATGAAGGGACCCTCGAAGGTGTTCATGACGTGTGGTGAGTCGAAGTCTGACCAGGCTTGGCGGGCTCACACGGGACAAAATTGGGCAGGAGCGTTCGGGCCACAACGCGACGAAAGCCCTGGAGGCCGCAGGCTGCTCTTCTGTCTTCTCTTTGTCCCTTCTTTCAACCACCATCTCGCACCCTCCCCTCCGCCCCCCCCTTTGAGGAGCGACCCTTGCAGCAAGGAAACCTTTCGTTTCCCTGACGAAGACCCCTGGGCAACCGCAGTTTGTGCATACCGCTCGCCTTGACGGCTGCAGGCTTCACTCGACCCCCATCGCCCTCATCGCCAGTCACTGCCCGCAACGACTCCGCATCGACGCCTGTCTACCGCGCTCCGACCTATTCACTTAGTGTCCAGCCCGCCCGTCGCATCTCTCGCCACTGACTCCGAGTCGTCGCAACCCACCTACACCCCTCTGCGCTGCCTGGTCTATTCGAATATCCCTATCCGATCGCCTCGCATCCTGTCCACGTCTGCCATCTTCTGCCTCGCCTCTCTCGCATCCACGCCTGCATAGTCGCGCATGCAACTGAGCCTCTACTAAAGCGTGGGCTCAGAGCGCTTTGCGCTTCGCCATCGGCGCGAAGTAATCGGTTCGCACAAACAACCTCTTGCGCGGCCTCACCTTCCACTAACGCCTTTCAGGGTGTGAAGTCACACTCGATTTCAACTCTCCTCGACATCATGCCGTCCTTTTACCCCCGCCAACTCCCTCCCACCCCGCCCGAGTTCATCCCTTCTAGCTGCCAGCGCATGCAGTATCCTCAAGATTCATACCGCTCCTGTGACTCCCGCCAGGATGCTGCCTACGACTACTCAAGAGGATACCAGCAGCAGCCTGCTTTCCAGCGCAACGCGATCCTTCCTCCCATCAACAACTACTATGATTCGGCCAGCGCCCCCATCCTGCCTCCTCTGAGAATGCAGGAGCGTCTGGCCATCGAGGATGACTATCGCCTTCGCTTGCAGCAGGAACAACGCAGTCAAGCCGCGCAACAACAGCAGCAACAACAGCAGCAGCAGCAGCAGTTACAGCAATCGACACAGAAGGAAGACAAGGCAACAGGTGGAGTATCGGCCAAGCTCGACTACGAAATGGAACGCATGACGAACTTTGTGGCGGAATCGGCGTCGGGAATGTATGCTCTCCATCTGTCCCCCATCTGCCTTGCAGATATTGACATCTGTCGAAGCATCCAGCCTAGTGTCCCCATCCAGCCCTCTTTCCGCAAATGGGTCTCGCAAGTCCTGTCGGCCACCAGACTGCCCTCGTCGACCATCCTCCTCAGTCTGCACTACTTGACCGTTCGTCTGCGAGACTATCCNCCCAGGACCACCTCTTCGTCCGAGAACCACATATACCGTCTGCTCGCAGTCGCCCTGATTCTGGGCAGTAAGTTCCTCGACGACAACACCTTCATCAACCGTTCGTGGTCCGACGTCACGGGCATCAGAGTGTCCGAGTTGAACAACCTTGAGATGGAATGGCTCGCCCTCATTTCCTTCGATCTGCACTGTGACCCTACTGACCCTACTGGTTTGGCTAACTGGCTGCGTGCTTGGAATGACTACGACGCTCAAGCCGTCAGCCGTTCGCGCACCACCCGTCTGTCTCCGCTGAACACCAACGTCCAGCGTCAATCGCCTCGCGCTTCGCGTTCTCCTTTCCAGCCACAGTACAAGGGCAGCTTCGCCGACTTCACTCCCCAGTCATCGAGGCCCTCTTCTACCTACTCAGGCACACCTTATACTTCGGCTGATCCCTGGAACCGCACCGAGCCTTCCATATCGTCGGTCGAGGCTTTCTACAACTCTCAGCACCGTTACCCGACGTTGGACGAGCTCGACAATTCCAACAGCCTTGCCGCCCTAGAGCAGGCTCGAAGATCTACTGCCTACGGTGGTTGTGCCTTGCCTCTACCACCCGCATTGACTTCGTCTTACTATTCTCCTTGGAACCAGTCCACTTGGGGAGGCTCCCACCCTCCTGGCTGCAACTGCATGGCATGTGCCCGCCAGTACATGCCTTTCATGGGTGCTTCGGGATACCCAGCCCAAACTGTTGTGGGTTAGTTGCACGAGCCACCATCGTCGAATCCGGCTTTATAGACTGTACAAGCGACCGGCATCAGCAGTTTCATGCTACCCATTGGTCTCGTCATTTGTTCGAAAAGTTTATCCTTTTTGCCGCGTCTACCAGCGTACCCCGGACCACCAAAAAGTTTTTCATCACACGCCTACATCGTCCACAAAAAAATCCTTTCTTCGTTTAGCGCTTCTTCAACTGTTCATATTTCATGGTCTGTCGAGCTTGGGACAGACAGCACAGCTTTTTGTTACGATGCTCCTCATTTCTTTCTTTTCCCTATTTTCAGCGCAGCCATAATATGCGCAGCTAGATTTTCTTTCCTTTTTGTTTCTACGGGGTTCTTCCTACTCCTCTAGACTATCCCTAGGGCTGGGGTCGCGGGATTGGTATGCGTTTCCTCGCATGGCGTTTATGTTGGCTGCGGCTTTATCGCTTTGACGGCAAGCGGATCATCTTGCAGTGTTGCACACTTGACGTCCTTATTCTTCCCATCCTTCTTATTTCTTGCTCTCCTACGTTGCAAGAAAAGGCCAAGCAGGCATGAATCTTGAGATCAGCATCACACTGATGCTCTTGCTGTCTTGCTTGGTCTTGTTATCCTGTCTACTTTATTTGGCTCGCTCGATGTCTATTGCTGGGATGCTCATTCTTTTGCCTATCTCCATCAAATACACAAAAAAATACTCTGGTTTGGGCTCCTGCCTTGCCAGAAACTTTGGCCGTCAATCTTCCAATCCTCTTCGTGAATCTTTGACCATTAGAGAATACCGAAAATGAGCTCGCACCTCTCTAAGCCACCAGGTATCTTGCGCTCGCTATCAAAAGATACCACCAACCAAGATTGGATTCTGAATTTAACACATGTCAAGTAGCGCCGCCTCCTGTGCTAGTAGTATAACATCAAACTTTTGTTGTCTGCTTTGACAGCTGTTTCGACCAAAGTCTGGTGTATTTACCATTGAGATTGTAGAGCTGCTCATGCGTGCCCCTTTCAACGATCTGGCCACTCTGTACCACAAGAATGAGATCTGCATCTTGAATCGTTGACAACCGATGAGCCACAACAAACGTCGTTCTTCCCCTGCTCAGTCTTTTGAAAGCCTCTTGGATCACGGCTTCTGTCTCGGCATCGACCATACTCGTTGCCTCGTCCAGCAGGACAATATGTGGATTACGCAAGATTGCTCTGGCAATGGCAATGCGTTGGAGTTCACCACCGCTCAGTTTTACACCACGCTCGCCAACTGTGGATTTATATCCATCTGGGAATGAAATGATGCGATCGTGAACTGCTGCCGCCCGGCAAGCCTCTTTGACTTCTTCGTCTGTTGCTTCCATCCGAGCATAGCGGACATTTTCCATGATGCTGGTATTGAACAGAGATGGGTCTTGAGGTACCATACCAAAGGCCGCACGGAGACTGTTCAGGGTGACGTTTCGAATGTCTTGACCATCGATTCTGATGGCACCGGTCGACACATCATAGTATCGGAAGAGTAGCTTCAGGATCGTCGACTTTCCACCACCTGTCTCGCCAACAAGTGCGATGGTCTTGCCAGCTTCTGCGACGAAAGAGACATCGTCAAGAGAGGCTTTTCGAACGTCGTAAGAGAATCTGACATTGTCAAATTCGATCCTGCCTTGCGTGAAGCGTAGAGGTTTTGCTCCAGAGCGGTCAGCAACACTGGGCTGGGTACGTAAAAGCTCCAGTAATCGTTCCGAGTCGATTAGCATCTGGGACAGTTGCCTGACAGAAAACGAGACGCTAGTCAGTGGAGCTTCAATCGTATGCCAATATGTTACCAAAGTGATAAAATTGCCAACTGGCGCTCCACCACGAGACACACGGTATGCTGCAAGCAGCGCAGCAGAAAGCTGACCAAGGAGTAGAAGAAGATTTTGCGCAGCGTATCCTGCGTAGTGCACCATGTAATAACGTCCTCTTGCAACATTGTGCTCATCGACTGCCTTTGAGTACTGGGTGCACTCATAATCGGCCATGTTAAAGTGTGCAACCGTCTGCCAGTTTCCGATGCTCTCGTTCTGGACCTTGGACTCATTTCGTTGGGCTTGGTTGTATCGTCTGCGGCGTTGCATGGCCCAAGAACTCGATTTGGTTCCGATACACGTATAGCCAACTCCGACCAGAATCATGATCAACGTTATACTTGCGTCGAAGAGAAGAGTGACATAGACCAGCGCTATGACAAGATCGAAGGCCATTGGGCCCACATCGAGAAAGATGAAATCACAAAGTCGATATAAGTGTTGACCCTGCCCGATAGCTGCCATTAGCTCTCCTGAATGTTTGTTGCTGTGGAAATCCATGGACAGATTCATGATATGACCGAACGCTGTCGTTCCAATCTTTCGATAAGCATGTTGTTCGATCGGTAATTGACAGAATTGTGTGATCGCATGAAGGCCTGCATAAGAACTGAGCCACACATATAGCATCCACAGTCCGATCTCCTTGATAGGAATTTCACCTGAATCTCNGTTAGCTTTTCTCTTGGATTGAGCCTACGTTCTATTACCAGTCTCATGTACGGAAGAGAGCTTGTCGGTGATAATTCCAAGCTGCCTCGGTACCAAGAGATTCAAAGCTCTGTCAGTAAGTATCACGACAATCAGAATGGCCAGGCATATTTTGGCATATCGATCTCCAGAAGGCCAGGCAAGCTTTGCAAGCATTTTGAAATCTTTCAGATATGCCATCCAGCTTCCACACTCTTGTAAGCGCTTCTTCTGCTTTGCCTTCAGTTCTTTTGTCTGGTCTGGACCATCATCCTCGTCTGTAACAGTAAGTAAATCATCGTCTTCATCTTCAGATTCGATCGAAGCATAATCTTCATGCATCCTGCCACCAGTACCGAGCAAAGGTCGATGTTCTTCATCGGCTCGGTGCTGAGATAGCTTGCGGCGCACAGAGAAGCAAGCCACACTTCCGACAAGGACCAACAGACACGAGATACGACCAGTCTGCAGAATAGCCTCGACGCCTAGATAGGACTTGCCTGGTCTAGAGAAATGCTCGACCAGAAGAACACATGTCTCAGACAATGCACCTATGATCCATGTCGTAAGATAAGGATGCCAGATGCGCTTCGGCTTGCCCAGTAGGTTGATCGTCACAGTTCCCCAAATGAATACCGATCCTCCAATGTAAGCCTGGTTGGACAAATTAGATCCCGCAGATCTAGTTAGTTCCANGTGAGTGCTCACCTGGGTGTCCTGCGACACGTCTTGCTGCTCTAGCCCTTGAAATTGATGCAGCGCATATTCCAAAGCTTGCACGATCTTGAGGTTGTCAGTCGAATCTAGAGAAAGACGTAAAACCACTTACAAATAGTAGCAGAACGCNNTTGCTGACAGTACCACAGACACAACCTGCCTAGTTTTGGCCAAGCCACGCGAACATCTGGATGGTTTCTGAAGTGTGCAGAATGCAACGAGCCGCGCGATGCTGAAGATTGTGCCGATCGCGATAGGTGTGATCCAGTGTAGAGCTTGAACGGCCAACGAGTTTGAAGACATTTGGCGTTCGTGACCCCCTCGCTTAGGTACAGCCAATTTGATATGCCGCTTCCGATGTCAGTACCCGTTATGTGTACAGGATGTTCTCTGTCAACCGAAGGCAGTTGACAGGCATCGAACGGCGACCAGAGCAGGCTATTTATTGCAAGAGATGCTCTTTTCGGCCAGCAGCAGCACTAGTCAGACAAAGAGGCAGGCAAGACAATTCCTGGTCCTGGGCGTCGGCTCAGTCTTAAGTCATACAGATCACGGCTCCAAGCGATGTGCAATCTAGAAAGGTGGCCTGTCCATGGCTGTATTGTCTCTTGGACAAAGCATTTACCTCAGCAGCACATGCAAGCAGCTCGGAAGTCGACCCATAGCTTCCCATGAATTTCTCGTGGTTTCGAACCGGTCATGGCCAACCAAACAAATTGAGGGCTGCGCGCCCCCGGACAGCGCATCTAGATACTCCAGTCATAGCCACTGGGGCACCTGATAAATGGAAATGCTTACAGCTTTCGGGCTCACACCGCACCTTACACCGCTCATGGCCGCTTAAGATGATTGGTGAGCGCGTCCCGCACCAAGCAGGCGTCACTCTCCCCACTGTATACATACCATGGCTCCGGTATTGACGTGCTTCCGGACTCCGCAGTCAACCCAGTCGATATTCAGTATCCTGGGTGTTCATGCATGATAGTGGGTAAAGACATGCCAAACATGGGAATGCTTTGTTGTTCATCGTGAAGACAGCTTCTGGATGAGTCAACAACATGATGTGGTGTAAAGACCTCAACAACACAATTCTCGAGGTGAATCGACAAAGGAACACTACAAGTACGCACGTAAAGAAGAAGTTCCAGCACGGCATTGTTGAATTTGTTTTTCCTGAGTACCTGAAGACCGACAAATGGACAAACTTCGCGGACCTTGGCAGAATCCTTCCAACCATTGGCTTGGAACTTCCTCAAAAAGCATGGAGATTGCAACCTCTGTTGCTTCTAACCTTGACATAGGTCAAACAGAAGAATAAGCTACCAATCTTCGGATCTCTTTGTTCTACACACAACCCGTTTTCAGCATCACAAAGATATTTTTCATGGATGACGTGCTGACCAACACTATCAACAGGCAACAGGAATCGAATTACACACAGGACGCAGGCAGAGGTCTTGTAGACATTCACTCAGAGCAGCGCAGCTACAGGAGCACAAGCTACTTCCGGTGTTCAAGCAAGAAAAAAATCCGCTAGAAGCGACTATTGAGTGTTTTGGCATTTGGCTCTTCGTCATACTGACTTACGCCAGAACAGGTGAGCGTCGAAACTCACTGTCCCTCCCCGTCATTTGGCTGCCATCTCCTACCTTAGATCAGATCGTATTAGAACCATCGAAGTGGTCAAAGCTGTGTACTGTACTGGCTGTATGGCTTGAGGAAGAAGCTTTTCTTGCGACCGGAATCTCGCTACCAATTGTGCTTCAACCTTTCGTTCGTCAGGATGCAAGCAAGCCTGGACATAGTTCGAGTATCAGACAGCCAGGCTCTCAAACTTGCTATCCTAGAAATTCCCAATGCCACAAAAAGAACGACCTTTATCTGAGTCAAAAGCTACTACACCACGCCGAGGATTTATTCTGGTCTTTCAACGGAATACAGCCTCAATTTGCCAAATATTCATGCAGTCGAACCAGGGTCTACTGATTGCTATACAAAACACAGAAATTCACCGTTCTGTTTCTGGAAATTACCTATCACCGCTCCTGGCAGAGTCCGACAAGACGGAAACGCCATAATCTCCTTTTCGTGGCGCATCTGCGGAAGCTACTCGTACATCCAGCTTTCATGAGCATTCCTCGATGCATCTGCTCAAAGCCTTTTTGTTCTGCTTCTTAACGAACTTTCATTTGAGTGGTAGAGCAACGAAAAAGCCCGAGAATTGTTCTATACGAAGATCGAAAACATTCGGGCCCATGAGGTAGTCTAAGCATCGAGTATAATGAGGAAGGTCTAATAGAAGACTTTCGCTTCCTGCTTTGCACCCATCAACTGATCACCTGTTCACCATCATCTTGCTATACCGAATTACGATGGCATCTCACAGAACTTTGTGATTACAGCAATAAGTTTCAGATGTCGACGAAGACTATTGCTCACTTCGAGCAAAATGGTTCATGAAATGGCAAGGCTCTATTAAAGGCCGATACTACTATGACAGAGATCAAGATGACAAAACAATATAAGCAGATAAACCCACGACAAGACTCTCGTCCACACGCGACCATCGATCATTGTCGTCAACATCGGAACATTCTACTTTGATCGTTTGTTAGCAATTCAGCAGTTGAATCGAGATACACCAGCGGTTGTGAAAATGTAAGAGCCCCAATCAGTCAGCTGAGTGCCCATGAGGAGGGATCAGTTCGTTCTTTCAAATCCCCTCATAGTTCTTTCACATCCCGACCACTAATTCCCACGATCTCTTCATTTGCACTTTCACATCTAATTGTCTCTCGGAATTCCTTGTCGAGGGTCACCTCTACTTCTTTGATGTCCGGTGCTTTTCTTTCTCGACTTCTCCTTTCTCTCTTTGTACGCAATCCTCCACCCCAATATCCACCGCAGCTCGTGAAAGAACACTCGACTCATCAAAGACGCGACTCTTTGTGCGCGCAGATAGCGGTAAGCATTGTTCCTCTCGTTCATCTCGTCTTGGATCTAATACTTAATTCACCTACGATCCACACTCTCTCCTCTTTCCAGATCAAAATACAAAAACAAAACAACAGCAACCCAGCCCTCCCAACCCCAAAACCCAAAACTACAGAACGACTGGATCGTTTGAAAAACACAACAAAATGCTTCTTTTCACCTTTCTCCCCATCATCTTTATGATCTACAACATCCTAAACACTGCTTACACTGTACTGACTTCGGCTCCTAGCTTCCTTATCAACCCCATCAAGCCTTACACTAAGCCTTTCCTGGAAAGCACCCCGTCNATGGCCTACTCTTTGATCACCTTCGCCCTCGCCTTGTTTGTTTACAGCATCTCGGACAGCTTCTCCAACCACTACATGCTAACTTTTGTCCTGCTTAGTGTGTGCCGCTATCTCCGCCTGATCGTCAACATTGTCGCCTTCTCCCAGCTCAGAGGTCACCCTATCAAGAAGAACCCTACTTTCAACTCGACTGATGTGTCCGTCGTCGTTCCTACTGTCTTCGCCGACAAGGACGAGGTCATGGCCTGCCTCAAGCGTATTCGTGTCTGCAACCCTCTGCAAATGATCGTTGTCACTAAGGACGAGCTCGTCCCCCAGGTCTATGCTGCTTGCGCTGAGATCACTGCTGCTGTTGAATCTGACGATGAAAAGCTCGACATGGTCCAAGTCATTGGAGTCGCCAAGCTCAACAAGAGAACTCAAATGGTTGCAGCTCTTCAACAGGCTGTTACTGGTTCAATTGTTGCCTTTGCTGACGATGATGTTNNTTTCTGGCCTGGCAGTGATTTCATCACCACCATGTTGGCATGCTTTGAAAACCCTGAGGTTGGTGCTTGCGGTCCTTCCCAAAGAGTCTGTCGCTCAACCGACCTTGACAAGTTCACTTCCTTCACAAACTTCCTTGGTATCTGCTACCTTGAACGCCGCAACTTCAACACTGGTGCAACCAACCTCATTGACGGTGCCGTTTCTACTCTCTCCGGTCGTACCAGCTTCTACCGTGCCACTCTCATCCAGAACGAGAACTTTTATTCATACTTCATGAATGCTTTAAACCACGACGACGATAAGAACCTGACTAGATGGGTTTACGACCAGGGCCTCCAGATCACACTTCAATTTGCTCCCGCCGCTCGTATCATGACTACCCTCGAGACCGACTTCACGATGTTCATCGGCCAGTGTATGCGCTGGGCTCGTGGTCACTGGAGAGGCAACTTTCGCGTCATGGCAACCACAACTTACTGGTACGACACTCACATCTGGAGTCTCTACGCCATCTACCTTGGCCAGTTCCAAACTCCTGCCATCGCCATTGACGGTTTCCTTTGCTATTTCCTCTACCACGGCTTGTCTGAATACGACACCTACACTCGCATCTTTGCCTTGATCTCTCTCTGCTGCTGGATCTTCTTCACCAAGATTGTCAAGCTCATTCCTCACTTCTGCGAGTTTCCTCAGGACATCGTTTACATTCCCGGCATGGTCCTTTTCAGCTACGGCCACGGCTTCCTCAACGTCTTTGCCCTCTTCACTAGAGACAACAAGGTCTGGGGCCGTTGAGGTATTTCCTTTACACTTTTTCTACACTTCCCTTCCTTACACTTACACGATACCCCTCGCATAGAACAATTATCTAGAACTGGCTTCTTTTGGTGTTCTTGGGTTACACACACTCGTCTGCGGTTCCGTCATTGGATATACGACCGCAGCAACTAATAGTGAGTGCTCATTGGGATGGCATTCGGGATTGCTTAATAACATAAAACAAAAATAAAACTCTTTTCTGCATGAAATTACTCCTGACCTTACTCGTGACTTGTCCCTTATTTTACGCAATTTTCTGTTTTCCTTGGACCTGATCGTTTTCGCAATAACACTGTGACTTCTGATAGCTATATCTTCCAGTGTCTCTCCTCTGAGAGCAGTAGTCCTGACAGCTCTCTGCGGGTGTAGGCTAACTCGTGACTACTTTTTGCATTTCTATAGCATATTTTTGCTAGGACGACTCCACTGGGAGTTTTCGAAACAGCGGCTCTCCCTGGACAAAGTCCTCTTCAAAATAGCACGGTGTCTTTTTATAGCTGTACTTTCAAGATTCTTTCCACTGAGAGCAGTGATTTTCAAAGCTCTCTCTGGATGCAGACTATCTCGTGACCACTTTGTGCATTTTTATAGCATATTATAACGCTGGTTGTTTCCACCGAGAGTGTGGAATGGTGTCTTGTCTTTCCCTGTGCCCCCTAGTACTGCTTTTACCATCTTTTCCCTTGTGCCACTCCACTCTATAGTATAGTATAAAAATGCACAATACTATTCGGTTTGCAGCAGTGTCCAAGGAGAGATGTCATCCCAGAGCTATTTCTATGGTTACTCATCTAATTCAGTAAGCAACTGTGCATTTCTATAACATACTGTAGCACGAGATGTTGTCGCGGGAGACATTGATTGTAAAAATTATAAGAGAAATAGGCCCTGGTTTTTATACATCATCGACGTATACCACCTCAATTGCTTCGAGCTAATGTGATGTTTCGATCTGCATCTCGGTAATATAGTGTAGCTGGACACTGACATTTCGTAACTCGGCGATCTTTTTGCGTAGATGGAGTCGATAGTCGAGACCGAAGTGTAAAGTGCATCTCGAGTACTTCGGGTTCTAAATTGGAGTATAGTTGGATACGTCGTGGAGGTTCAATGTGTACAAAGCGGCGAGACACTACTTCAGTCCAAAGCCGGCGTCCTCCATGACCGTTGCTGTAACTCCGAAGCCCTCTTAATATCCGGTTACTTCAGACCCAAGATCTATGTGGAAGGTAGATCGTCTTCGAATTTAGGAGGGACACAGAGACTGAATAGCATCGATTCGCGGCCCTTATACTGCATGATCAACCTGCAGAACCTTGTGAGTAGATGTCATCCTTAAGAGCACCGTACTCGAGTAGAGTGGGAGAGTCTTCTTGAGAAGATGGTGGTAATGTGGTCACAAGCTAGCTTCTTTAAACGTTGCTCTTGAAGTTGAGGATCGATTGTATGATTCCTTTGCGCTCCAGCGTCATGTTTCGACGAGGAGAGCAGGAAGCTGGTGGAAATGACGAAGTTCGAGGAGAAAGGTGGGATGTCGTGCACAGACGTGTTGCGAAGGTTCATGGGGAAAGCATTCTCCCGGCACCTGGATGAGGAGGATGATTGTCATGCATAGATAGCTGTGCGGTCCAGAGAAACTGACCAACTTCTCTAGATGTCCATCTAGTCGTCAAGCAACTTGGGTATCAGCGAGATGACTGAAAGGTTGAGGTGATGGGAGAGCAATGGGAAAAAGATGCCAAGGACCCCGCAGCATGAGCTCCACACAACGAGACCCCCAGGCTGGATAATTAGGGCGTGCGATGGTCGTATGAGTATATACTCTCCGGTGCCCACATTTGTCGTCTGCTCGTCTGACCCCTTTCTTTTCACTCCAACAGCAATGGCCGGCAACGTCCCCGTCACACAGTCGCTAGACGACATCTACCCCGAGGATGCCCTCCAAGGCCAACGCAAGAGATGGAGCAACCTGCTGTCCTCGTTCAAGGAAGCCTACGGCCGCCCCGCCGAATTCGTGTCACGCAGTCCCGGTCGCGTCAACCTGATCGGCGAACACATCGACTACTCTCTGTATGAGGTTATCCCCATGGCCGTGACGGCCGATGTGCTGCTCGCCGTCGCCGTCTCCCCCGCCAATGGCTCACCCACCGTCCGCATCGCCAACGTTCAGTCGGACAAGTTTGCGACCCGCTCCTTCGCCATCGCACAAGATGGAGGGGTCGACATTGACCCTACATCGCACGAATGGACCAACTACTTCAAATCCGGCCTGCGTGGTGCCACCGAGCTGCTCAAGAAGCACGGCGTTTCCGGCCTTGGTCAATTGAACATTGACATCCTGGCTGATGGCACCGTCCCTGCAGGTGGCGGTTTGTCCAGCAGTGCCGCCTTTGTCTGTGCCAGCGCTCTGGCAGTCATGAGGGCCCACGGTCAAGAGACGGTCGACAAGAAGGAGCTCGTCGAGCTGGCTGTTGTTTCCGAGAGAGCCGTCGGCGTCAACTCCGGCGGTATGGACCAGGCTGCTTCTGTCTTCTCCCAGAGAGGTTCTGCTCTGTATGTCGGTTTCCAGCCAGAACTCTCTGCTCGCACCATCGAGTTCCCCCAGACACACACTCCTTTGACCTTTGTCATTGCCCAATCCTTTGTCGCCGCCGACAAGCACGTCACCGCTCCCGTCTGCTACAACCTCCGTGTCGTTGAGTGCACACTAGCTGCTCGTGTATTGGCTAGCATATGTGGCCTGAAGAACTTGCCCGATGACTCGTCTCCCTTGGGTTTCAGTCTACGCACTTTCCACGACAGCTACTTCAAGAAGAAGGGTGCCGTTGGAGACGACGTCAAGGACTTCAGATCTCAGCTCGACCAGCTTGTTCACATTGTCGACAACTACTTGCCACAAGAAGAAGGATATACCCGTGAGCAGATCTCAGAGCTCATGGGCACATCTGTGGACGAGCTGGAGAAGAGATATATGACCAAGTTCCCTGTTCGCGCCGACACCTTCAAGCTCAGACAAAGAGCTATGCACGTCTTTGGCGAGGCTGTGCGCGTGCTGAAGTTCATGGACCTGCTACAGTCGCCTACTCCATCTGATGACAAGNNGGAGAGCGAAGAGCTCCTCAAGAGTCTAGGAAACCTATTGAACGACACACAAGAATCATGCCGCGATATCTACGAGTGTTCATGCCCCGAGCTTGATGAGCTGTGTCAACTTGCTCGCTCGGCTGGTGCATATGGCAGCAGACTGACCGGTGCTGGATGGGGCGGTTGTAGTGTGCACCTTGTGCCTCAGGCCAAGGTCGAGGCCGTCAAGAAAGCATGGGAAGAAAAGTATTACAAGAAGCGATTCCCCGACATGGACGCCGCAAAGCTGCAGGACGCCATTGTCGTGAGTAAGCCTGGTAGTGGAAGCACTCTCTTCCAAGTCGCCGGTAGGGAGAGTCTTTAGGTCCTGGAGAGAGATGACGAGCACGAGTTGTATACCATTGCTGCGATTTGCTTCCTTGTGTATAGAATTATAGAAACTTTTGCCTATTTTCATGTTCCGTATGTTGGCATGTTGTAGTTGCTTAATTTCCGTCTCATAGCTGGACCGGGACTTGTGAGTCGGAGAAGCCAGGCATGCCATCCAAGCCACCGACCTTTTCGAGCAGCTCTCTGAAATCGATACCGTGTTTCTCAAACTCCTGTTGCACCTTCTTGTATGTCTCAACTTGACGCTCTTGAGTGAAACCGCCAGGGCGACTGCTCTCATACTGCACAATCTCAATCCAGCGGAAGAACAAACTCTCCTTGCCCATGACGGTCAGACGATCTTTGAGCGCCACAATCTTTTTCCTGTTCTCCTCTTCCGAGCCCTCTTCGTCCAACTTGTGTACCGGCCAGTATAGCCAACCGTGTTGTTCACTGTACGCAAGTACACTCTTTTCAAAGTCTTGGAGACTGTTCTTCTTGTCGTCGATGAGNNGGCGGTGGGCGTAGACCATGGCGCCAAAGTCTAGGTCCCAGTCCTTGCCCATCATGAGGTATGCCGTCTTTTGGCGCATGTAGTTGCGTTCAATGGCCGGTAGGATGCGTGTCGTAAAGAAAGGACTGTCCCCTCCAGTCTTGACACCTGCCAAAAGCTCTTCGGCGCCCCAGTCACGACTGATGCGCACTGCAACTTCCTGATCACGGAAGCCGACCTTGATGCGCCAGTAGCAAGGATTGGCGGGTGCCTCGAGGAAGAAAGTGACGGGCCATGGCAGGATGAAGCGGCCGAGGACAAAGTCAAACATGAACATTGCCACGCGCTTCGTCAGAACCCATGCCAGATGAGACTTGGTCTTGCTAGCCGTGTCAATGGTAGCGGGCGAATCGAGACCAATGACCGAGGTGAAGATTGCCAGATATGTTGGAAGAATGGCGTAGATGCGCCATACTAGTAGCGCGGCGATAACGACATTCAAAAGGACGGGAACGGTGAAGATGCGCTTCTTGAAAGTCGCAGGGAATCGGTCGACATGGACAATGTAGACGTGGGCTTTGTTCAGGCTTTCGACAAAGGGTTCTAGAGCTGTAGGTGCTTTGAGGAAAGGTGGTGGCGGTAGTCGCGGATCCTGCAGCGGCTTGGTTGCCTTTTTCGATGTCGTTCGAGCCATGACAGGATGCTGGCCACGGGCAGAGGGGGATGCAGTATAGTTGGCAAATATCAAGGGCTAGGAGCATGCGACAGCTTACTAAGTTTCATAGACCCCACCAAGCTGCTGTGCCCCTTTTGGTCGTCATATCAATCTTTTGACCAGCAAGCTCTCTTCCCAATTAGTAACGAACTACTGGAAGCACTGGATATATGCAAGCCATTCATGTGTCACAGATCATGATAAGCACTGAGGCCATGCAACGAAAGAAAAGAGTAGAGTAAGATAAGGAGCGAGCAAATAGATCATCAAAGCCAATCGTGCCAGAAATTTCAATTCTTTTCCGATAATGCCGCATAATCGCTTAAGTGCGATGGACGAGAGATGGACAGGCCATAGAACAGAAAGAAAAAATCTTGTCGTAGAGTACAATGTTCCCCTCCGGAACGGCGAACCTGCCGCTCATGAAAAAAACGCCTTGGTTTAGTGACCACCGTAGTTTCCGCCCCAACCACCACGTGCTCCGTAGTAGGAGTTTCCAAATCCGCTACCGTAACCGCCGTATCCGCCTTGCTGCTGCTGCTGCGGCTGTTGTTGCTGTTGCTGCTGCTGCTGCTGCTGCTGCTGATGGCTCTGCCCGCCGAGGCCACCGAGTGCGTATTGGCTGTTAAAGCCAGGGTATCCGCCAAAGCCAGCCTGGTGGCTCTGAGGAGGGGGCAATGTGGTCGAAGGAGTTTGTCCGCCGACGCTGTTGGCAGCCGAGCTGGGTCTGCCGGGTTGACCAAGTCCAGGGGTTGGGCCACTGGTCTTTGACTCTCCGAAGGGCTTCAGGTCATCAGCCTGACCAGTGCTCTGCTGCTGGCCATAGCCTTGAGATTGACCCTGGTAACCAGACTGGCTACGGCCAAAGGGCTCCGACATGCCACCGAAGCCGCTGCTGAGGTTTGAAGGCTGAGCGGAGGTACGACCATAGTCGCCGAGACCGCTGCTGATGCCAGTGTCACGAGACTGCATCGAGGGCTGCGCATTGAAACCACCAGCATTTGCAGGCGAGGCCGAATGATCGTAAGATGAAGCCGAGTTCATGCCATAGCCGTGAGGCTGTCCGTACATGGCGCCCTTGCCTCCGAAGGGACTGCCATAGGCAGGCTGCTGGTATCCGAACTGGTTCTGGTAGGCCGCATGATATGGGCTCTGGTAGTAAGGGTGGCCATAAGGATAAGCAGGGTTGTAGCCAGAGTGGGGCTGCTGGTGCATTGCTGCACTAGGAGCGGCAGAAGGAGCCTGGCTGTTGGATGGAGCAGGGGTGTTGTGGCCTGACCCAGGAGCTTCGCCATAGCGAGACTGAGAAGGGAGATGAGAATCGTGGTCCTGAGAGTACAAGGACTGAGCGTGACTCACCTGTTGAGGGGCTTGAGAGCCCGAGAAGGCCGAGTCACTAGGAGCAGATCCAAAGCCGCTGGTTGAACGCTGCTGGTTGGCAGTGTTGTCCTGCGATTGCGAAGCCTGCTGGCCGTATGAGCCGCCATAGTAGCTTTGGTAAGCGTTTCTCTGTTGGTCGGCAGTGTAGTATTGGGAGTAGTCGGAAGGAGCAGAGGAGAAACCACCGAAAGGCTGGTGCTGTTGAGCCGAGTGCTGGGTAGCATAGTGGTCATAGGCAGTGGAAGGAGCTTGGTGGCTGAAGGGGTCGAACGACTTCTGAGACTGTGCGCTCATGTCGGGTTGTTGCATACCACTCTGCCCATAGCGGCTGTACTGGCCATAACCTTGGGACTGCGAAGACTCGTGGGGAAGGGATCCAATAGGCGAAGCATCCTGGTGACCACCGAAGGATTGCTGAGGGACGGGAGGGAGTCCAGGGGCCTGCTTGGGAGTGGGCAGGTTGTCGTGGATCGAAGGCTCTTGAGAAAGAGCAGCCTGTCTGGGTGCAGGAGGCAGCGAGGCTCTGGGCTGGGAGGGAGGAGATTGTTGGGGAGGTTGAGTGCGTGTCTCGGGCTCCTCTCTTTCCTCATCCACGTCGAGGCTGTCGGGTTCGCCGTTCAAGCCCATGCTACCGAACTGTACTGCAGCTCGGTCGACTGCGTTGTGACCAGGCATGACAACAGCCTCTTGCTGCTCGAGCACTCTACGCTGGTAGCTCGAGTTGCGGCCAGGTGTGCCAGCTGCTCTGTATGCGCTGGCTGCGTAACCACCCATGGGAGGGCGGCCGATGGGAGCTTGTTGAGAGGTGGCAGGGGTGGCCACACGAGGGTCGATCGAACCAACAGTGCTGGCGACGGTCTGGGTCGCGGGCTTGATCGAAGTATCGGGAAGGTGCTCAAGGTTGTCCTCAGTCAGAGGAGCGTGTGCGGATGAAAGATCGGCCTCTTGGGCCAATGCAGAGGGCTCGGCAGCTGCGGTCGAAGGCTCAAAAGCAACAGGAGCCGTCTCGGTCTGCTCAATCTCTGTGGGCTGTTCCTCAATTGCTGCTGGTGCGACCTCGGGCTCGAGCTGCTGTGTCGGTTCGGGAATGGTCTCCTGAGGAGGAACAGATGAAGACTCGACCTGCGCGGGCAATTCTGCAGGAGCAGGTGTAGATTCGACAGCGGCGGCGGCAGGGGCTACAGCTTGAGTAGGCTGCTTCGGGACGACAGGTACAGGTGGAGGCTTGGGCTTGGCGAACATGCTGGCCCACGTCTTCTTGCCCGAGCTTTCAGGAATTGCGGCGGCAGCCTGTGCGAGGTCGGGAACAGTGGTCGGAGCAGAGTCGGCGGCGGCAGCATTGCCCCATGCACCTGTTTCAGTGACAGCTGGGGTGTCCCAGGCGAGCGGGGCGGCGGGTTCGGCGGCAACGTTGTCCCAAGCAGGAGACTCTGTGGTTGGAATGGACACGGCGGGAGTGTCTTTGGGGAAAGAGTCGGTCACAGCGGCATGGCCACCGCGAGCGCCTCTGAAACCTCCACGGCCGCGATCGGTGCCGCGACCTCTGCCACCTCTGGAGCTCTCGAAGCCGCCTCTTCCACGGCCACCACGGAGTGGGGTGGTGGCTTGATCTGCGCCGGCGGCGGCTGAGGACTCCTTGGCCTTTGAGCGCGCTCTATCCTTGCCCTTCTTGGGGACTTGGGCGAATTGCGAGACGTTGCNCTGTGGGGGAGCGACGGTTAGCAGAGCGATTTGGACAGGTGTGAGGGAGGGCAGCGACGCACCCTGAGTAATTCTGTCAATGACGATCTGAACATCGCCGTCGGCCTCTGCAATGGCAAAGACTAGATCGTCGTCGGTCCAGTCTGGGAACATGTCGCGCATAAAGCTCAATTGGGTCGAGTAAGTTTTCTTCATGTTGCCCAACTCGCCCTGGTCGTCGAAGGCATCGTCGAACTGCACCGACGACGAGTTTGCGTTGGAGGAAGTTTGAGATTGGCGAGGAGGACCTCTGGGATGCGAGGCACGGCCGCCTCTAGTAGAGCTTCTGCCCCGTGATGCCACGGGTCTTTGGTCGAAATCCGACATGGTATGGGAGCGACTGTCCTGTGCGGACAGGCAGAAAGTAGTAAGTGGAACGAGACGGGGGGGGAGTCGGAAGGGAGACTGCGGCGATTGGCGGGGACAAGGCGCAGTATGGAGATTGAAGGAGGGAGGTTGTTCTTGACAGGCTTTGGAGTGGTGAGAGGGTCGCTCTCTTGCTTGTCCATGTGCAGCCTTCAGACTGAGCTTCACTGCTCCGTCATTCTCGTCTGTGCGCCGCCGTCGGTCACGTGGATCTATCCAGTCGCCATCTGAGACCACTCAAGAGGACGGTATGATTCACTGCTAGCATTGGACAGCAACGAGCACTCGGATGAACGCACAG